GCGGTAACCTCCTCTCTCAACATCTGGAAGACCTGAAGCCTTCTTTTTCTGTTTCGGCGCGTCCTCGCGGGCATTTCTCGATCCCATATCCCGAATGCTGATTTGCCCCGCTAGTGATTCTGGATCTCCTGTCACCTCATCGTTGCGGCGAGTAACGAATCGACGGTCCGCCTGGAGAACCAGATTGGACATCGCCGCATACTTGTACTGCGACACATCGCGCTGTTGGTCCGTCATTGTTTATGAGTCGTCAATTTTACGGTTTGAGAAAGGCTGAAGCCTATATGGCGGATATTGAGAAGAAATCGAAAGAAGATGGCTGGAAGGAAGGTTTCAAGTCATCTGAAGTATTCCCTTTAAAACATGGATTATGAAATTTATCTCCAATATACTGATGAATCAAAGAAGGTATGGAAAGAAATTTAACAGACGCCACAATAGAGGGTATTTTGGTATCAGATTATCATAAGAGGTCTTTCAGTTCCCAAAATTCGCAAAATTAAGGTTTAACGCGAGGCCACTAAATTTACTCTTGATAGGCGCTAGTGTGTCTGCCGCCTCGTGCCTTCCTTCCTAGGTAGATATTTTTTAGGGAAAAATATCAGCACACTTTCCAAATTAAAGATCCTAGTTATAATTTTCAGTTGATTTAATAAAACAAAAATTGGTTAATATCTTGAAAATGTACAATCTGAAAAGAAACGTTCTGCGAAATACTCTGTTGATAAGTTACAATTGAGATGAGTATATATTAAGTTGTTGGTTCGATTTTATATGCCACGAACCAAGCGGAGCCGTATGCCGCTACACGTCAACAAGATCATTCAATAATAAAGTAAAGTAAATATAACTTTGCCTGGAGCAACGCAGCCGATACATTCTCACATCAGCACACCAGGACATCAGGAGTCAGGTATTCCGAAATTTATATCAACATTTATGTTTGGATCAAAATGGACGATTTGGCAATGCTTCCCGATGGCATCAGGCAAATGCATCATACCTTGAGCCCTTATATAAAGCAAAGACAGGATGCTCTACATGTTCGGCATGTCCTCGCTGCTCACTTGAATTCCAATGTGAACTCTGGAGATAGCTTCTTGACGCCTGCAACTTTGTCTCTTGCAGAACCTACCTCTGAAGTGACACAAGGATTAGGCTTTCCGGGCGTCCAGCATGATTATCTACGCAGCCTTCAAGCTAATTTGAAGGCTCAAAGAGATTTTGCTGCGATCAGTTCACAGCGTGACGAACCAGAATCTCACAGCGAGATTCAAGCAAGGACTCATGATAAAGTTACATCTAAGGAGATATCCGTACATGCTTTCTTAGATCTAGAAAAGCAACGTCAGAGGAAGGAACGTTTTCGCATCATTCAAGATGTTGTGGATCAACTTGCACAGAAGCCTGCAGCGACACAAGATTACCTCGACTTGAAGAGCGTGGACGTGCTGAAAAATATTGGTTCCTTACCGCCAGTACCACCGAGTGTTATGGCACCAATAGAACATCTTCAAGATTCTGAGAGAACTGATCTGAAAACGCTCGTCGATCGATTAGAGAAGTCAGTTTTACGTGCACAACTTCTTCTCAAAAAAGAACAAAAACTATTGGCAAAAGTCAGAACGGGTGCTAGCACACCACGAGATCAGCAAGAACAGGGTAATCGACAGAAAGCACTGGAAACAACTCGTAATGAATTGATCAACTGGATTGAGACGGAATTAGGAAAGGCTGGAGATACGCCAGCAGCATCAGAGGGACAAAATCCAAGCATGCCTGAGAATATTGGGAAGGAATACATTGAATCTCAGCTTGCATCCATAAAGCAAGTTTATGGACAGTACCTTGAAATTAGGAAAAGGTTAATTATCGCTGCTACTGAAAATCTTACTACACCACTTCCCACAGAACTTGGAACAGAAGATTCCCCTGACATGCTCCTAGATGAGCCTACCAATGATACCTCTAATACCAGAAACGCGTCAACGTTTTCTTACCTAGAAGATCTGGTTCTCATTTCAAATGAGCAGAAATCTACTATACAGCAAAGGTCTTATCTCACTAGCAGTCTCACAAAACAAGGCAAAGAAGCCAGTAAAGATCTTGACAGGCTAGTCGACGAAAGTCATCTCTTGCCTACCTATCCCATGCAGACTGTCAACAATCCTCAACGGAAAAGACTAGGAGAGCCGATTTCGTTTGAACAAGAGATCTCGAACAGTGACAAGCCAACTTTATCCAGCCGAGCCAAAGCATGGGTTTTTGCAGCGGAATCGAGTAGCATCGCGACCAAGGAAGCAGTTTTGGAAAGATTGGAAGATGGGGAATCTGCTCTTGCAGGAGCCTATCAGACTCTCAACGATCTTCAGCGTCTTTTGGGGTGTCTCCCAGAGGAACAAGGCGCAGAAGGAGATGCAGGCAGACAAAAATTGGGGATCTCGAATATCGGGGGAGTCTGGTCTACTCTTGATGGCAATCTCGGAGTTATAAGGACAGACGATTTAACGTCAGATTGATCACAATCATAGGAGGTTGGTCTTATGGGTTGTGATGTTCAGGATTCAGATGTCAATGCCTACGTGGATACTTTCAGACTTGATTTAGCAACATTATTTTAAGCTAATACAGATGGTTTATCCAGCTTGGAAGTGTAAACTGTGGGTTCAATTGAGGTCTATATAACACTGGGCAGACTCTGCTCGTAGGTTTAGCTGTCAAAACTATTTTTCTGGCTAAATTTGCTAAAGCAAAATATCTGTTGGGTGCAGGTGCTAGATAGCCAGTGTTGGAGCTAAATCTAGAATCAATTTCTGTAGTACCATACAATATGTTCGAATACTTCCTTCAATTCCAAAGTCTTCCGAATTAAAACGGCAGACTACAGAATTAATATTGTAATAAATGTGATGAGACATCCTAATATTTCTTGATATTGCAGCCTCGCGCTAAAAATGTCGCGTAGAGTGGAATTTCACGACGCGTCTCCCTTGAATACACTTTCTATTATCTAGAATCTAAACTTTCTTGCGACTTGTAAATATTTAAAACCCTCACGATTTTCTTCAACATGGCTAGCTTCTTTGATATCAAAGCTCGTAAGGCGGAAGCTGCTTCAAATGGCACCGTAAATGCAAAAGAAGAAGCTAAGAAAAATAATCGCATGCAACCATGGGTTGAAAAATAGTCAGTCTTTTGTTCCGAGTGCGATCTCTATCTTTGATAGCTTTACTAATGGATTCGTAGTCGACCCAAAGGCCTAGGAGATGTTACAGCGCAAGATCATACCATCACCGTTCTGCAACGCACACTCCAATCCTCCAATGTTAGCACCTTCCTTTCCCCTCCCCAAACCAGCTCTAACATCTCCTCTCCCAGCTCCCACATATGCTCTTCTACGGTCCTCCAGGCACAGGTAAAACATCGACCGTCCTCGCTCTCGCCAAAGAACTCTACGGTCCCGAACTCATGAAATCCCGCGTCCTCGAACTCAACGCTTCCGACGAACGAGGTATATCCATCGTCCGCGAAAAAGTAAAAGATTTCGCTCGCATGCAACTTTCCAATCCTTCGCCTGCTTATCGTCAGAAGTATCCGTGTCCGCCTTACAAGATTATTATATTGGATGAGGCGGATAGTATGACGCAGGATGCGCAGAGTGCGTTGAGAAGAACGATGGAGACGTATAGTCGGATTACGAGATTTTGTTTGATTTGTAACTATGTGACGAGGATTATTGATCCCTTGGCGAGTAGGTGTAGCAAGTTTCGATTCAAGAGCTTGGATAAGGGGAATGCGGTGGTTAGAGTGAGGGAGATTGCGGGTAAGGAGGGTGTGAGGTTGGAGGAGGGGGCGGTGGAAGCCCTGATTAAGTGCAGCGAGGGAGATCTGAGAAAAGCGATTACGTATTTGCAGAGTGCGGCGAGGTTGGTGGGAGCGGTTAGTCCGGAGGGTGAAGAGAAGGACAATGCAGATAAAATGGATGTGGATGAAAAGATGGTCACGGTAAGCAGCGTGGAAGATATCGCAGGAGTTATACCAGATAACACGATTGAGAAATTGGTCAAGGCCATGCAACCGAGATCGAGAGGAGTTGTATATGAAGCTGTATCCAAAGTAGTCGTCGATATGGTGGCAGATGGGTGGAGTGGCACACAGGTTGTCTCGCAGGTATGACTTTCTCCTACCTTGACAAAATGTGATAAGAGCTAACATACACAACAGCTGTACCAAACCATCATCAACTCCGAACTAATCGCCGACTCCCACAAGAACAAAATCGTAGCTCTCTTTTCAGAAGCAGACAAACGTCTCGTGGATGGTGCAGATGAACATCTTACTATCCTCGACCTATCTTTAAGGATATCCAACATTCTAGGCAGTTCTTGATCGATGTTTGACATGATATCATAGTTCCGAAATGTAGCTGGGGGTGGTATATGTATAGCAAAGGTATTGGCGTTAAGGTTACTATGAAAAAGCAGACACGGAAGCGATATTAGGAAAAGCGTATGTAGCTATAGTATGTATCATGACCTACCCCTTCATAGTTTAGATTAATATGAAATAGATAAAGATCAGTATGAGTCTGTGATAATTACCATTGTTATTGTTGAGGAAGGAGATGCTCTGCAATGTAGTTAGTTGCTTCATAGTATCTCTGATTTTAGTTGCATATCTTTTTGACTTGAGAAAATTGTGCATTCTTACTTCAAGTTGAAATTTGAAACGGGACTGGCTTTCAATAGGGGCTCTTAATGGAGATACATAAGTTACGAGGGGGACTTATTAGTGTTGCTTTGTTTAAAGGTAAACACTAGAAGTAAATAGTGATGGCACACCTCGATACTATGGGTGTGACTGGACAGACCATATAAGGTGAATCAAAGTGACTTGTGTCAAATGGGATAGCTAGAGTTGAGGCGGGAGGTAACATGATGGATGTTTCCGAGTGGATTGAGATTACAATTTGGGATGTTGCTTGGACTGCGACTGTGTTCAAATGGCTTGCACATCACAGAAGTCATATCTAAGTAAAGGTTCAAAAGAATGGTATGCATTAATTACATAGTTAAACAAGTGAACTAATCGTAAAAGAATATGGAAGTCCATCCAACCCGGCCATCCAGCACCAAAGTAGAAATGCAAATATACCAACCAACAATCGAGAGCCCACAAAAGAGACGTTTATGTTCATGCCCATCATGTGCTCATGTACTAATATCTTCATCCTCGTTTCTCACCCTTCCTCTTGCTCATTATCAATTTAACTACTCCATCAATTCAAAGTCCGCAGCTCCTTTGACCAACTTCTTCAACCTCTCCTCGATGATCTCTCTTCCCTCGAGCGTCTTCCACACCTCCGAAGGAGCTCCTTTGACCACATCCCAGCTTTTCAGGTTATCCGTTAAGTGACTAAGATCTTCTTGTTTCCTCTCCCACTCATTATCTCTCCTGACCTCAATGCCGGAACTAATCAGTACAAGTGGTGTACTTGCATACTGTATATTCCTTGCACTACTAACCTCATTCTTCGTCAATGAATTGGCGACCAGAGATTCTTGAAGTTTGGCCTTGAGGAACTTTCCACCTTGATAAGCTGAACGTCCAAATACTCGATCTTCTCGGGTGCGGCCGTTGAAAATGGCGCCAAATGTACGATCCAGACCGAGAGGTGAGAGGATACCACGACCCCAGAGAACGAAGCCTCTCTGTGGTGTACCGAGACGGTAGAGAAGATCTTCGTGTAGAGGGTCGATGAGAAGAAGACCTGCAATCTCACGAGCGTGTCGGGAGGAAAATATGCGGCTATAGATGCTGCCTACTCCTGCACTAGCGAGAATCCAGGGGCCTTCTTCGCCTGCACGAGCTAGAGCTTCTGAAAGTGCGTCCGCTGCCATGCCTGCTGAGAATGGAGATGGCGCATTGTCAGACCATGCGATTCCAGGTCGATCAGAATAACAATATCGGCCGATGCTTCCATTGGCAAAAGCATTTGTTGCAATCTGGAGCATGCCATGCTCGAAGGGTCCCTCGCCAGCTTCGAATAAAACTGTTGGGTTCTTCTTGCCCTTTGCATCCGTAAGATTACCTTCGCAATAGACATGTATTTGGTATTTGTCACCATCGACGTAATATCGCTCTCCTGGTGGCGCAAGAGAGGCGTCGCGAGATCTCAGGATGAGTGTAGCCGATAAGAGAATGGTGACGAGAGCTAAAACTATAAGAATGATTGTAGATATCAAGACGGAACACCATTCTCTAAGCGTTCGGCGAGTCTCTGCTCGGCCAGTTAAGCGCTCCTCCTCTTCTATTTTGCCAGCCGCTACGACTCGATCTGTAACAATCGTCCATATAGCTATGAGCAGGGCCCAGACAACACTAGCGATTCCAACCCATCCCTCCTCTACACGAAGACGTGGGACAGCGACAATCATTATCATGTCAACCAATAGAATCACGGCGACGACAAGGCATGTTACTTGTGCGGCTTTGGAAGGCGTCGAAAAGAAGAGAAGCACAATGAGTAGCAGGCTGAGGGTCAAAGTAGTATATGAGAAGTCGAAGAAGCCAGAGCCTCTCGAGTGCATGCCTGGTGGGGAAACAAAGATTGATACCAGCAGCAACACCCACCACAGGAATGTGATGATGGCGAACAAAACCGTGAAGTATCGCAAAAATCGTACGCTCCATAGATTATATGGAGATACCTAGATACATAACCTATTAGCATAAGAGTACAATAAATTTCCCATCTGGAGATTGCAACCTCGGTGGCGGATTAAGCAGAAGGGGGCGAGAAGCTTACAGCTGGATCATCGGGACTCAAGTAACCATCACGGCTTGGTGGAAGTAGACGAGTACGCTCGTCAGCCTCATAAGAATAATGAGGTTGAGGATGTACTTGGTGAGAAGCTACGGGTTCATTCGAATCTCCATTCTGAGAATGGGGACGAGAATGCACACTTCCAGAAGCTGAAAGGTGTTCGCTATCCTTCTTGGAACCCCATAAGGAGGGAACCATGATAACTATGTTGAGGAACTCCTAATTGTGGAGAGACTTCTGCGTCAACAATCACAATAAGCTCTATCGTGAGTGCAGAGATGAAAGGACTGATATGAAATAGTAAGAGATCAAAATCTCCTGAGGAGAAGGATGAAATGAAAATAGATTTAAAAAGGAGATCAATCGTCACCGTGAGATACTAGGTAGGCAGATAGATAACCTAGGCACCGAGAATGTTCAGAGTTAAGACAATGGTAGAAATGAGCTAAAGCTCAAGATCAAGATCAAGCAAGGAAAGAAGATCGTTTTGTTGTTGATCTAAGCCCAATGGAACTGGCGTCGTGCGCGTTGATGAAGCTAGGTAGCTTTTGTGTGTGGTAGATGGCGGTATTTGACCTACCACCAGTATTCTTCTGCTGCTGCCACTTTTTGTTCTTGTTCTTGTTCTTGTTCTTGTTCTTGTTCTTGTTCTTGTTCTTGTTCTTGTTCTTGTTCTTGTTCTTGTTCCTCTTCCCGTCCGTCGTGTTGGTTTTGAATTTTGAGGCTTGATCTATGATCATGGATGGATACCCAGCCCAGCACATATGAAGGAGGGAGAGGGAAGGCCGAGGGAATTGAGAGCGATGATGTCACAGTCCCTTAGCAGTAATAATAATAAGTACTTAGGTAGGTCGGTGCATCGAGACATCGTAGGTGGTTACAACCAACATACATACATACCTACTAAAATAAGGTTGGGCGGTACCACCTACAATGCATACTCTGTACATAAGAAATCATGCTTTTTGGTGCTACTAACCTCAACCAATTGCATTCCCTTCCATCTTCAGGAATGTGTTCAGACGATGACATACTTCGTAGGTACTCCACCATCCATATGCATATACATCCTCGCCGTCTCGATATTACTAAGCAATGCTCTTATCTTATCTCCCGAGGTCCCCATCGAATGGCTGGTGCTTTCTGTGGGTGTGGCTGACGACATCATGGCTTTTAGCTTTTACTTATATCTTCTCTTTTCTCTTTTCTCCACCCCTCGGGAGCTTCACACTCGAATTGGACATTTCTTTAATTCGATTCCCAGTTAATAGCTTAGACTCGAATTTGTTCCCTGACAAATGATTCTCACTACTCGATACGAGTAAACGCCGCAGAGTCGACTTCTGCAAATAAACTTCAAGATGAGCGACTTACAAAGGTCCTTTGTTAAACCTAAGCTACCAAAGTTTGCTCCGCCAGAATTCAATGAGGCCGACGAAATAGAAGAAGAGATTGATGTGCCTAGTGAGCTGCCCGATCTGCCAATAGATGACGATTCTTCCTCGGCGTCTTCAGCTTCATCTACTGGCACCATCGTACCATCCTCGAATCAGAACTATTTTGCTCGACCGCAAGGGTTTGTTCTTGCCTCTTGCTCATTGTTTGTGCCGGGCTGATACATTTCATACCATCAGTGTTCCCAATAAACGAACGATGGACCAGATACCATGGACGACTTATTTTGAACGAGAACTGTTTCTCGAACGCAAGCTGGAAGCGAAAACCATAATACACCATGCATATCTTACATCTCCTGTTGGGTCAGCACCTTTATTTATTACACATCATGGAGCAGGATCATCCGGTCTCTCGTTTGCTGTTTTGACGTCGGAGATTCGAAAAAAGCTACCTTCTGCCGGTGTACTTTCTCTTGATGCTCGAGGTCATGGTTCTACGGATATCTCTCCAGAGGCAGAACTTCTCGATCTTAGTCTGGAAACCTTGAGTTCAGATCTGTTATATATCATCGAAGCCACAAAGGACAAAATGAGATGGAAGCAACTTCCTCCTCTTGTACTTGTTGGTCACTCACTTGGCGGTGCAGTTATTACAGATGTTGCAAAGAGCGGAAAACTAGGCAATTCGGTTCTTGGATACGCAGTTCTCGATGTAGTTGAGGGTTCTGCTATGGATGCTCTACAAAGCATGCAAACTTACTTATCGACTCGCCCACTAGGCTTTCCTTCATTGCAGTCTGGCATTGAGTGGCACATGAGGTCGAGAACAATACGCAATTCGTTGTCAGCGCGGACGAGCGTGCCTGGGCTACTGAAGCACAACGAAAAAGCCACTGGATCACGAGCATGGGCATGGCGCACAAATCTGGGAGCCACTCAACCATTTTGGGAAGGTTGGTTTGTTGGACTTAGCAAAAAGTTTCTTGAGGCCAGAGGTGGAAAGCTATTACTGCTTGCAGGGACAGATAGACTTGATAAGGAGTTGACAATCGGACAAATGCAAGGTAAGAACCATCCTTCTATGTGAAGTCTGAAAAGAGCAGGCTTAGATTGACAATCAATAGGGAAGTATGCGCTGCAAGTTTTCCCTGAGGCAGGTCATTTTGTTCACGAAGACCTTCCTGAGAAGACGGCCATGGTGTTAGTAGATTTCTATTCACGAAACGATCGAAGTGCATTGATATTACCACCAAAGGTTTCAGATCTTATTAAGGCTGGTAAAAGAGTGTGAACTCAGCTAGATATTTTACCGTCTACAGTAAAAGGGATTCGAAAATCGTGAAAGCCATATTGTTACTTCCTCAAAGTCCCTTTAGGAATCAACGGCCGACATCGAACATAACCTCTCGGAATATCGAAATATCTTGGGCTCTCCAAGTGGCCCGTATTTTGAAGTTTGGGGAGCACAGCAGGATGCTTAATGCGTGCACAGCGCATCGAAAATGGGAAAGCGGAATTGCGGCTGATAGATTGTGGGTCTCAGCATCATCCCACCATTACTTTCCATCGAATCAGATATCCTGGTGAGCCTAGGTAGCTTACTACACGTGCGAAATATTCAATACTTCCAAGAGAGAGCAGCGTCAAATTACTTCTCCTAGAATGTCACATTCGTCGAGCCTCAGGGGTCTGACCGTGCTCCGTACAAGGTAACCAATAGATTTTTTTCAACCGTTTAAGAACGGAACCATGGGCTGCTAGGCATCCAAATCATCTTTTGTGGGGGCTGAATAGCATTACTTTAACCCCAATTCTGCGCCTGCTCTTCTACAGCTTTTTTGTGACACTCTCGATAGTCTTTCCATCGTTCTATTTTACGAGAAAAATAATCAAAATAAAGCTTTCATTTCATTGGGTAAACCAATCAACATCACTGTTTTCAATATCTACACAATGCACCTCTCAAACTCACTTCTCGTCGCTGGGCTCATTGCCTTTGCCTCAGCATCTCCGGCTCCAGCTCCAGAGCCAACGACGCCATCTGCATCGTATGTTTGACTTGCCTATTCTACCTACTTCCCCCATAATCTGGGATTTTATTCCCTTTCAAATCCCGTGATATTTTCTATCTGCGCATGTCAACTGCACTTCAACTAACACTCTCTCCCCCAAGTCAAACCCAAGCTCTAGTCGACGACCTCCAATCATACATCCTCGACCTTGCAACCCAACCCATAGTTTCCAGCCTCGCCACCGACACCGCCGCTCTCAGCTCTCTCGAAGCCTTACAAGAATCCCTCCTCTCCGACGTCAGGGATGGCGAAACTCCAAATACATCCGTGTTGACTGCTTTGCCTTCTCCTCTCGCTAGCTTCATCGGTTCCATCTACACGGCTGAAATAAGCATCGCTAGCAAAAATGGGTTTGGCGATTTGATCGCAAGCGAGACTGCTACTGCCACTGAAGCTGCATCTGCATCGGCTACTGGCGCGTCACAGACCGCAAGTGGAACTCAGAAGACTTCGACCACTGGGTCGGCGTCGGCGACGGCGGGATCGGCGAGTGCGAGTGCCTCTGCTCCGGTCACTAATGAGACGGGTGCTGCTGGTGCTTTGGGTGTTGATATGTTGAAAATTTGTGGAGGTTTGGCCGTCGGTCTTGTGGGTGCTGTGATGGCTCTATAATGGGATTCGTCGGTATATATTATGATACATATCATATGACGATTTGAGATTTTTCTAGGGTTTAGAAGCATAATTCATTCATTGATGAAAAATAATGAACTCAGTTACTTTAAAGCTTTTTCCACTGCAATCTTGATCCTGGAGAACATGACTATTACTTTTGAGAACGGGTGAATTCGGAGTGATCTTCGCCGTTGCCCATGTATAGTAAACCTTCTAGAACTTAGAAGTAATAGTTTCTGAGTGTTTGAAAAGACATGCCAATGAATCGTTCCGACAACTTGCCCTTTACCCAGGTGGTAGTGTCTCTAACTCTCGAGTGAGATAAATGGATAAATCACATGACGTTTGATATCTTTGCATATACGATTAATCGGCTCTCTCAACATCCAGTGAGTTCCTATTCGGCGAAAGCGAGTGTTCCCAGAAAGTGGATGTCCTCACAAAGAAATTCGAATAGAAAATGCACTGTTTAATTATATTGATTTTAGATGAGAACCCCTATCAAAGACCTATGAGGATACTTGCTATTCGGGGACACCTGTTCCCCTCGACCAGGAATCAGTCGGCCATTTACAGAGCCGACTGTTAGAGCCGAAGGCACGTCGGTGGTCGTTACGAAAGGGTTAACCGATGAGCCGTACGGGCACGTAGTCGAGTGGACGGAAGGCAGGCCTCTCGGGCGGTTGGTCCGGATGACGGTTCGAGTGTTGGCATTTGAAAGATACTGTTGAGAGTTAGGCTACATTAGAACACATGAACTAGGGATGAAAGAAAAGCCGGTATGGGGTGACCATCTGGAAACAGATGGTTCAGACGAAGTTTGAGTGGAAAGATGGATTTTTATCGCGACAGAGATGTTTCTAGTATCATACTGTATTGGAGGTGCTTATATATTACTGATGAATTCGACATACTGTGCTCAGAATGACACAAACCCCGAAGGTGATTGCCATTACGAGTTGCCTGACCCTCTAGCATTGATTGTCTCTGTAATTGTGGTATTCTGAGCACCTTGACCGAGTTTCTGACCTTATTAGTTTTCAAAATGCCGATTCAAACCATGTTTATTCACTAGGGTCGTGTGACAATTTTTGCGGGCGATGTGATTTAGCCAGGTCTACCGACGAAGGACAACTTCAGGCCTGTAGGGTTCTGTCAATAATATTGTTTTCTGATTTCATTTCTTCTGAATATAGGGACGTGTACCGGTGAGCATGAGGGATATAGACCTAATTCGCGATCAATGGTCTGTTCTATTTTGGAGAACGAAGGCAGAAGAGCAGTGAAGCTGAATAGTATGACGAGATCATTGCGAAAAACACTCTGCCTAGACCGTGACAATTCGATGGATTAATACCGGCTCTTGCAACTTCATCGTCTTCTTTGTATATGAGAAAACACTGCGATACACAAGTTGGAATCCAAATTGCTCATCTATACAACGACACGGAGTTTAAACAGTCACCTCAAGCACCTTATTTTGTGTTTCAACCCCCATCATCTTAAAAACTTTGAAATGTCTTCCCGATCTCCTTCTCGTAGGAAGCCCCCCGGCAACGAAGGAGGAAAACGCAAACATAGAGAATCCAGTAGCGCTTCATCTGGCAATAACAATAGCAATATCCGAGGTAAGAAGCAAGAACGTGCCAAGCCTCCCAAAGAAGAAGATCGTGCAAGAACTGGAGCACGCCCCTCTTCAACAGAACGTTCAGACTCTCAAGGTTCAAGGATAAGCTCAGAGAAATCCCAGTGGTCTTCAGATGGCGAGCTTCCGGAAGGTGTTTCGAGCGCGACAGATCTGGCCATCCATCGGAATCGAGGAGATCACCAGCCATCGTACGATAGTCCACCGCCTCCACGCTCCCCGCCTAAACTTCAAAAAGAAAAGTCACTAGACTCTTTTCCTTCTTTGAGTGAGACGCAGAGCGAGAGAATTCAGTCAAATATTACGCATATACGTATGAAGAAAGGATGGCTGGACCCCAATATCTCAGCGAACGGAGAAGCAATTGCTGAATACGATCGCCAGATCGGAGAACTTGGACGGCAATTGACGCAATTACGGAGAGGTTGGTGTATGTGACTTTAGAAGCAATGATACAGTTCATTGATATAAGAGTCATCGAAGACTTGTTGGAAAAGCAGAGGGTTCTAATACACATATGACATGGTTCCGGAAGCTGGGTAGTATGAATATTGAGTTTAGGATATCTGTATAGTTATCAAAGACTTTAAAGAATATATGAACTACTTTCGCAACACAGACGATCGAGTAAAATCCACATTTGACACGGGTCAGCTCCCCGAGTATCCTAATCCGTCGTGCCGTCAAAAATCTTGAGATGTTGTAGATGTGATAATATACCACTTAGCATGTATGAAATGCTATTAATCTTTACCAGATTTACTATACTTGAATGCAAAGCGAGGAAAAACTTGACGGAAGAGTATCCTCTGCCGGTAGTGAGCTTTCGGGTACACAAGTAATGCGGCAACAATCAAAAGGTAGAACTACTACCACCCAACGGGAAATCCGGAGGAAGGAATTGCTGAAAATTTGGGTCTGTGGGTGTACTTATTGCTAAACAAATGAAAGCGCACGGGAACACATGTCGATCTCGTGAAACAGCTCGCCATTTCCTTCCAACAGATTCGACACTCAAGCGGTTCGTTACTGAACAAAATTGCAAGAACTCTATTTCCAATGTCAAGAAACTGGCAGCTATACCAGTTTTGAAGATGTGGCCATGTTGACACCCCGACTATTCTTGTTCCGTTTCAGCAAACATGCATGTTGCAGGCATCATATCTCTTTCTTGGGCACATGTACGAAGTAGTCGAATTTGGAAATATCGGCGGTGAGGATAGATTGTTCGTCCTTGGTTTGCTGCAACATCCTAGAACAACAATGATGGTTGGGAAGAAAGACTAGAAGAAGTAGACGAAACAGACCATGCTAGGACAGGTATTTTCCCTCGATCAAACCGAGATCGACAACCTCAGCGCCCGCAAACTGGCGTTCGTTGCGCTCAACCTTATATTTATTGTCGTTTCAACTTTCGACTCAAGCTCGGCTCTTCAAAAGTCGCAAATTGTGCCACATCGAGTTGTCATAGCATTTCCAATTCTTCAATTCCGTAGATAAGAAAGACAGCAAAACAGAAGAAGTCTGGGCCCACGGAACGAACGAACAAATTGCATCAACAAAGCCCGAAATTCATCAGCAAAACAAACACACCCTTGCGACCCCCTCGCTCACAACGTCACCCAAGATCGTTTTAATTTGGATTTCATGGCAAAAACAAGGAGGATCCCACAGGTCATATATTGCCCAGGAAGAGGATTCAAATTTCCCCGCGATTTATGCGTTTCAGTCTTTGTTATGGGATAACTCGAGACCCAAACATGAAGTCATCGTATTTTTTTCTTCAATCAAATGCTGGATGTGTAGCAATTAGCAAGATGGTCAAGATGACATTCATTTGAATTGCTGAATCAGTGGTAGAACATGTCCCAGATGGCGAGGTGTACCGTGAAGTCGGCGAAACATGTTTTAGATTACTGCTGGACAAAATGCACCCTCGGTATTGTAAGTCCTATGCTATAATCTAACCGACAGTCACCGTACGTAAAGTCTACGCGTAGTCAGACAGTTGTTCAGGCTTCTAGAGTCACAGCGCTTAAACGTTGCAGTTGGTTGGTATCGATCCGTTTGGAAGTTTCCTCGCTCTGTCGAAATGAGCGACGGCTAGACTGGAGAAAAGTGGTATCAGACTATCAGTCTACCAGTCCATATCCTAATTATCTCATGGTAGGTAAGGGGGTGTTTTCCGTCTCTGACTCTCTTCGAAGTCAATCACCGAGAGATGCTTCAACTTGGGGAGAAGACTCGAGAGCTAACAAGCGAAACCCAGTGCTATCTATCCACTCAGTGTACCAAGCAAAGATTGATCAGTGTACTCCGTGAAAATCATCTTCTGTGCGCGAGTGGACACTTGCAAGTTGAATCACTATGCCTTGGTTGGCCACATCATTATTAATCTCGTATTTTTAAAAGTCGCAATCAAAAGTGTAAAAGTCAAACAACATTTTGAATTCAACCCAATGAATTTTTCAATTTTTTTTATCAATAACGAAATTAATAACATAAAGTTTGGTGGCTGACGTTAAAAAGAGTATAAATGATTAGAGTCGGGACACTTGGTACGCGATACTCGATACTCGATGTAAAGTTTTTTTTGAGACGACACCGAGTGTCGTGAAGATGTATGTTTGGTGTTTCTGCGTATTTAGGATATGCTTACTCAATATGATTGAGCCTTGCCTTGCAAATACGCTTCATCCACCCCTTTCGTTCCCGTTTATTGGTGGTGCAAAAGCTAAGCTTCTATCTACTGCAGTCTGCAGCAAACACTAGGTTCCATGTAGGTCCTGCCTACCTACATCGTACAGGGGAAAGTTAACTGTTTTTCGTAAGGCTCAGGTACCCTTTCCATTAGTCCTGGTCAACCAATGCATTAACGCATCCTAGAATTAAGGTTATCCGTAGGGAATTCTAAGGAGTGAGCGATCGGCTTGATTATATGTACTTTGTACGATAGATTTGGACTCTTGAATCTTGATGCGGACTTTTGGGTATCGATGAAGGGGTTAACCGAAGAATATCTGATATTCATTCAATACATTATACATATCATCCATATCATCATCTCATCATCTCATCATGAGACGATAACATGCATTAAAACAGTATAACAGTATGTACGTACCATGGAAGTGAGTAAAATTAACCCTTGTCGTACTAATTTCCTTTTTCAGGGTTTTATCCTCAGTAATTACCTATGCTTCCAACATAATCCTCGAATCAAAATGATTTATAGCCCACCCAAGGCACATCTCGTCTAATAACCCTCCGCCTCAATTCCATCCTCCGTCGACCAAATCTTACACCAAACTCACTCAAATCTCCCTTGTGTCAATCATCAGTATGTCGAATCTGGCTCCGTGTAATAACTTTGTAACCAATCCAGATCCAACATCCTGACTTTAGCGTTGAAATCCTTCTGCTATTAAAATGTATAATTATATCCCAGCCTAGAACACTCCCGAGCCACCCCCCTCCCTCCCCATAAGTAAGAAGTGGTGCTGCCAAGGGTAATGGCACATGCACCTGTAAGTTTACGAAATGAGAAATTGGTTTAAAGAATCCTCTCTTTCCAGTTTCTGCCATCCTTTTCTTCCTTCTTATTCACTACAAACTGAAAAATAATAAAAGAGAATCAATCCTTTTTCCCTCTTTCCCAACCTTAATCTTTTGTATCTTTGATACTGTCCATTCTTTGAATTTCTTCTCAATCAACCCTTAATATCAAAATGCGTTACCAATTCGTTTCCGCCGCCATCTTAGCCTCCATCTCCTCCGTCTTTGCCCAAACTGCTGGCTTTGACGCTATCTCCGTTCCAACCAGCGGTCAAGTCGTCAGTGTTGGAGATGTTTTGGATATTACCTGGGCTCCTAACTCCGTCTCCGGAACTGTTACCATCAAGCTTTTGGAGGGTGCTTCCCCTGCTACCTTGAACTACGATCCTGTCGTCGTTGCCAGTGAGTCACAATTCCCCTCTATGTATTGAAGATCAGGACAGTTGTACTAACAAATATACTCAGCCTCCGTCAACAACTTGGATGGATCATACAAGTGGACCGTCCCAGCTTCCGTTGGTAGCTTCGCAACCTACGGTATTGCCATCTTCCTCGATTCCGATGTCAACACCTTCCAATGGTCATTCCCATTCGTCATCAAATCCGCTGCCTCCTCCTCTTCCTCCGTAATCGTTTCCACCACTGCCCCATCATCTGTCGTCACCTCTGCTACCACTGAGCCACACGCTGCCTTATCTTCCTCCACCAGCTCTGCCTTCTCTAGCATCTCTGGTATCCCAGGTGGATGCAACCCAGCCCACCCAGGATCCTGCCCAAGCTCCTCCACCAGCGCTGTCTTCTCTAGCATCTCTGGTATCCCAGGTGGATGCAACCCAGCCCATCCAGGATCCTGCCCAAGCTCCTACTTTAGCACCGTCACCACCGCTACCGCCACCCCAGCTCCAGTTCCTACCGCTGCCCCAGCCACCAACGGAACTGCTTCCAACGGAACCTACACTGCTCCTTCCGGATCCAACGTCACCTTGAGCTCCGGTGCTTCTGCTACCAAGACCGGTTCTGGTGTTGTTGTCGCTACTGGCGCTGCTTCAGCAAAGGTCGCCACTGGCTCCTTCGCTTTGTTGGGTGGTCTCTTTGCTGCTTTCGTGTTGTAAATCATTTCTCTTCGTGCCGTTAAGATTTGAGATATAATAGATAATACCATGATAGATATATATCAGCATTCATTGGTGGATATAATCAGTTGCACTGGGATTATAGAAAATACAAAGGACATACAAAATGCATTGCGCGGCGCTAGACAGCAACACAACTTTCCTTGAGTCTGGTTTGGGTGCAGATTTAAAGCTTCTGGTTACATAGGATTATAGGGTCAACAAATGTTATGATAAACTTTTTTTACGTACCCATCTCAAGTTTTAAGAATACCCCGTGTTATTTAGTTAATGATGGATGGATCTTGAGGATCGTTGCAGTGGTTTGGCTTTTTAGAATGATGAATGAAGTCAGCATTTTTGATCTCTATATTATATTTGCGCATACAGCGACTGACAAGTGACCATTGTGCCTGATGCTTGTGATATGTAGAATAACTTGGTCAAGAGAGTTGTGCTCTGCCAACTTTCCAGCGGATGTCTTGGGCAGCCCAAAATCACTCATGCTTCCAGTTGTGGTTTCCTTCATCTTACCCACACCATCACAATCAACCCATTCCCCTAGGTACATGGAGATGTGGAGGATTCTATGCGTTTCGTTTCAATCCTTCAGAGTCATCTATGTCGATATGTTTTAACTTCATATACAACGTTATCTTAAACCCCATCAACCGGAAATAGAACGTCGAATGACGATGGGAATCAAGAGGTCTCAACTTCAGAGCTTCATCCAAGTCAAGACTGCAATAGATTGGTTCATTCCGTCGTAGTGCGAGGATAGATACCATTTCAGTTTTTGATCTCTGCGTCTGTAGTTAGATCTCGTGAAATACTAGGCATGGTGTATTGGAAAGAAGAAAAAAGCTTTGAAGATGACCTTTATGACTTAGTATCGTTTCAAGATTTCAGAGGAACGAGCACTCGAAATCGTGTCATTCTACACCCATATGCTGGATGATCAGTCATATCATATGCAGTACCTAGATCTAGCGGGCAGTAGAAACTTCATTTGGCCGTGACACCTAGCTCTTGTTCCAGACCCGCTGAATCTCCTTGAATCAGTTCCGGGCCACAAAAGTAAATGAAGAGGATTGCGTCTGTCGTAGAAGAAAAGTCGTGGTATTGTTCTGATTGAGTTCCGGGCTAGAAAGTGCGGACGCCTGCATTATCGAGACTTCTTGATGTGTATCAAAGTATCTGCTCGTACTAGGTAGTAGGGATAACACCGCATCTTAAGTACGCGATTATATATTGAAAAAATGATCAAAGATAAGTGGAGAGTTAGAAAATCTGTACGCTGTCCTCGGGAAATTATTATAAAGTACTAGATATTAGATAACGTATTGAACCTTGCGCTGCTGTCGACACCCCGCGGCGGGGTAAGGTGGGTAGCACTGAAACACCAGCATGATCGCCCATTAAGAGATATTCATCAACCTTCCCGCCTTCATTTATAAATTACCTTCTTCCCTTGCGAAACCGTAATACAAACTCATTTACCTTCAATAATAAGCTCATAAAAAGTATGTCACCAACGGCGACTTCTCTCGACAATGAACTCGCAAATAATAGTCGAGTTGGTGCAAGGGGGTCGACCGTGTCGGGCAAAAAGCTCAAAATCAGGTCGTACCCGAGGTTCGAAAGTTTAGAAGAAGAGAGATTATATCGCAAACAGCATTTGGCTGCTGCATTTAGGATGTGAGATTCTTCTAAAATCAGTGGTACTTGTATTATTATTGATACATGTCAGATTCGCGGATCGAGGTTTCGATGAAGGGGTTGCTGGCCATATGTGAGAATGCCGTCGAGTAGTATTCTAGTCGCCGATGATAAGAAGCTAATTATGTTGGAATAGATCAGTTCGTGACCCCATTCTCACTGATCACTTTTGGCTTAATCCCCTCTCTCAACATTTCTCTCAAATCTGTGTCTCGGACCTTATTTTGGTGAACGAAGATGGCGATGTGGTAATTGGCGATGAGCCAATCAATGCTGCGGCGTTTGCCATTCATTCTGAAGGTACAAGAACTCCACAGTCGGACAGTTCAAGATAGCTGATATTTTGCAGTTCACAAAGCTCGTCCCGATGTACACGCTGCTTGCCATGCCCATTCTGTCTATGGCAAAGCCTACAGCGCATTCGGTCTTCCTCTTGATATGATAACTCAAGATTCTCTCCGCTTTTACAGGTCACATAGTGTATATGACAATTTTGGGGGAATTGTGCTTGACCGTGAAGAAGGTATTCGTATCGCCAAAAGTTTGGGCAACGGCAAGGCGTGCATTTTACAGAATCACGGACTGTTAACGGTGGGTCAGAGTGTGGATGAGGCAGCCTTCTGGTTCATTAGCCTTGATAAAACCTGTCATGCCCAGCTACTTGTTGATGCTGCGGCTTCAGGTAGTGGGAAGGTGAAGAAGATTATTGGAGATGAGGAGGCAGCTTTTACTTATAATCAAGTCGGAGGTATTTTTGGCTTCTGTTCGGGAGGAATTTACAGATTGCTGACTCGATATAGGACCAGAGAAAGGGTGGTTAGCATTCCAAGGCTACTATGACGAAATCATGGCCAAGACAGGTGGGAGTTTCCTAAAGTGACAGTGCAGAGTGAAACGGAGAGGGAATCTAATCCGCCCGATTGATGATCTGATATACTTCCATATATTATTCGCAGGCGCTGTCGTGACTTGAAGTACCGTCTAGTGTTGATTTTACCAGTTCATACACATAGAGATCTCGAGGACCGAAGTTTTTGATGAATGCTCTTTCGTCTGTCGCTTATTCCGAGCCATATTGTTCAATGTTGTAATTGCAGGCGCTTCCCATGCATGAAGCAATCAGAAGCATGCAGGTCTCCGTTTAGGACGCAATTGTTTCTCCGAACATGCGACTAACACGACAACCCTTCGAAAAAATATCATCCCAAATCTTAATGAGACAATATTCAGGAAGTTTTCTCCCGTGTCCTGCATATTTACAATGATCGGGCATACATATCTGTCATATGTATTGCAACATCGAGTAGAGTTTCCACAGTGAGCACGAAAGAGATCGCGATTATCATGCACCCATGAATTCGGGACTTCCTTGTGAGCATCCGGTACCGATTATTCGGAAATGTTAGGGAATGGTGGCTGAAGAAGGGAAAATGAGATTGAAAATGGGGGATCGCTCTTCTTGGGTATAGATATCTAGAGGTGGGACTGATGAGATGTTGCCCAAGAGATGTTTGGGTAGCGGCCAGTTATCATCCATGAATAAGACATGTAGCTATGCCCTGTCATGGAGCTGACCGACCCAAAGAGAAATTGAGGTAATGCATGTGACATGACGATAGCGAGGCTGACCACTATCGAGACCTACGTGGTAAAATATGAGACTACTCTGTTAGAGGTTAATCAGCATCCGCAGTGATTTTTCCGTTTCTTCTACTCATTCACATCTTCCTGTTCACCCTCTTGGCTAACTTATCCTCGGGGAAATGTCGACTACCTAGGGACTGAGAGGAGAGTGGAAAGATCTTGGTAATTCAGAGTGACATAGACATGGAATGAAATATCTTAGATTACACCAAATGCATGTTCTTGCAGTATCTTCTGCAATGTAACTATGACTTGTTAGTGATCGAGACGATGTACCCATTACCTCGGGAGATGATGGTCGATGTAGATCTCCAATGTACCGGATCTTTGGAGTTATGAATTTCTTGTCTTGTCTTGGTGAAGGAGTCGATGCCGAATTTGAGAAGCAGAGAATTGATGACTTATTGATCATTCCGTTTGGAATGTAATGTAATCTTGTTGGTAGCTTTTAGCTGTCAGGTAGGTATGATATTGATGTACAACAGCACATATACCTGGTAGCGAGGTAGTATATCTGTACCCTCCCTCCACCCTCTCTGTAATCGATGCAAAGTCTGTAGTAAGGCTCGAGACAACCTAGAAGATCCGCCATTGTGTTATTATTCATCCCATCCTGACGGTCACCACCGGAAAGATTTCTTTTATTTTCCCTTGCCATCCTGGAGCCATCCTTGAGCCATTGCATACAATATAACAGAACAGGTCGGTAGGTCGGTATACTCTTTGTGTATTGGGTGTGGTGGTGTGGGTGGTGCCTTAGCACGTTTATTAGGTTATCAGACAAGCTTATTATTTGGCTGCCCCTCCCCCACCACTGATAATAAATATTCCAAGGTTCTTAAAGTTCATACTTCATCCACATTTATTATTCTTCCTACAGTATTAACATGACCGCCGACCGTTGTCACTAGGTAGGTAATTCACTTCATTCAATTCTTCTTCTAAGACCTTCACACTTCCTTCAACACCTGGTCACTCCATATCAATATCTACAACTTTGATCAAACTTCCATCGCGTCAGCTTAACAATCATTCTTCGTCTTTGCAAAGACTTATTATTGTTACTGTATTTCCACTTCTATTCTACATACAGTCTGCCTACAGTTTACTCGGATACCATGCGCCTATCGACGTTCTGACTTACCCATCCAGCTGAATCGGAACACCACCACAACTAATCATTCACTTCCAAGGTCGTCAAAACAACGCCACAAAGGGACTTCGTGGTTTGGTGGTTTGGTGGTTCTGTGATTTGCGAAACCAGAGAAGAAGAGGTGTGGTAGCACGAAGCGGGAAGCCTTGATCATATTGGAGAGCGGGGCTAATATCTTTCAGTCCTATCTTTACCACCTTTAACTCAAGATCACCTCACTTTCTAGTATACGCTTGTGGCTATCCTCAAGAACTTGGGAATAATGGCCGCACAATCAGGAAATCCTCGAACGAATCGAGGAGAGACTTCTCTTGATGCGGCAATGCGGGCGCCTTCTACTACCACTCCAGACGTCGTCGTTCTCAGCTTTGTGAACGAAGATGTAAAGGTCAAAGAAGTGGCAGATCCCAAAAAGGATCTTTGGGTATCGAGCGTCGATGGGTATGTTACATCTATTACTTCTTGCGATTCTGTTTGGACTGCACATCAGTTTCTGAGACGTCGCAAACGATCCATACTGATTTAATCATAATATAGTCGCTATTCATCACCGATGATACCGATCCGTGTCGGACCTCATGCCCAAACCTTTTATGTTCACCGCGATATACTCACTAAATCGGAATACTTCAGAAAGGCGTTGGATGGAGGGTTCAAAGAAGCCCAAGATCAAGCCCTTGACTTACCCGAGGAAAATCCTACGCTATTCGAGTTTGTCATTGCGTTCCTCTATGAGTCAAAGTACTCTCCTTTGCGTCCTGTCGCAGAAATCCTCGTCGCCGAACCTGAAAAGGGTAAAGGAAGAGAACAGAACGAAGATGGAAATGCTTCAGGTAGTGATGATGGATCGGACAGTGGAACCGCAAGCGATGAAAGGTAGAATCCCCTGCTGAATATCCGAAAACACTGTTAGATCTTGTTACTAAATGCTCAAAGTGCCAGAAGTCGGAGAAGACGCGAAACTCGTCGCAGACATCAAGAGCGAGCCTGGGAACAAAGACAACGAAAGGAATCTGGACGTCATCGGCCGGATTGCAATTGTGCTCAATGTACCGTAGAAACCTTTGGTCCAACTTGCTGGAACTGCGGCGTAACAAGAAGAATACCTCCACCCAGAAATCGTTGGATGAATGGTCTCCCGCCACCACCTCAGCCAATGCCGGTCATGGGTCGTAATGGTTATCCTCATGCCCCGGGTCCAAGAGATCGTAGAAGAGGCTCTCGAAACAATGCTTTGGATGAGCCTCCTGTAGAGGAGAGAATGTCTCAAGAAGACTTGAGAACCTGGTCAATTGCGTATTCTATAAGCGTTGATGTTTACGTTTGCGCCGAGAGATATTTGATGCAGGACTTCAAAAGCTGTATATCCGCATTCATCGTAAACAGTTTCGAAGTTGCTGGATCTGATGCTGCACTACCTTCGGTGTTGAAATCATGTAAAACTTTATATGATGGTATGAGCTCAATGGATCCTCTGCTCAAAAAAGTCTTTGCTAGAGTTGGTTTCTTGCAAGCTAGATTGTGGAAGAAGTATCCTGAGGAAACCTCAAATTTCTTCATGGACAATCCGGAACTATCGACGCTAATTCTTAAGGAAATGGCCGAGAGGAGGGAGGAGGATGTCAAAGATGATTTGCCTGCCATGGATCGTCCTCCATTGCCACCTTTGCCAAGAGAAGACACAATGCAAGGTCCGAGACGTCGAAATTATGGTCCAATGCCTTATCACTAACGTTGACAAGACTACAGACAGCAGCGGGCACCACCACGATGGTACCATATGACCTAGTATACTCTCATGCATATACATCAAAATGTGCAGCATTTTTCCTTTTATTTATGGGATCAAGGATCAAGATGGAGCAAGGGCTTACAATTCCATTTTTTAGCAATTTTTTTCTCGTCCGGGACATTTGGGAATGGGGCTTTGGGATACCTTGCATAGTGATGCGCATCTTCTCCTTATACCCTCAGCGTTTATGGAGGCAAAGGCTATTGGGGAGGACTGGAGTTTGAGGGCAGGTCTTGGTCTTGATCACGTGTACCAGTATTAAATCTAGTTAGTACGGAAAAATACATATTTCGGTGTAGCAAAGCCCGACATTTTAATGCATGGATGCAGTTGTGATGTGATACGATGATTGATATGTATCTAAGTGGTAGACAATATATTTTCCGTCTTTTTATTGGTCGCTTATTTCACTTAAAAAGTGTAACCTCATGCGAAATCCTGGTCGGATGTCTTCCGAGCTCTTTTCCCCCAGATTCGCATAACCCCGCCATGTAACATCTCTCTCGATTCCAAAAGTTTCTTCAATTCGGAATCAAGTTTGTATGCATTCATTGACTAAGTAGGTATGGATGAATGGCACTTGAAGTATGAGACTTCTGGATATATAAAGGTTGTAAGTGCCAAGAAAATTGAAGGTTGAAGTTATCATCCATTACATTTCCTTGAACATTTTGGTTGCTTTCAAAATGAATTTAACCTCACTTCAATCTGTTTGCCTTTCGTTATTTATCTTTCCCTTTCTTGTAATTGCACAAAATATTACAGCATCTCTAGATTATGGCACATTCCAAGGTGCATACTCATCTACATATAACATAACCTATTATCAGAAAATCCCCTTTGCAGCACCTCCAACTGGGAACAATAGGTTTAGAGGCCCACAACCTCCTCTCCCTATCACAAATGGAACCTATAACTCCTCTCAAACATTTCCCTCTTGTCCTCAAAAAGGTGTAAGCACTTTATTCCCATAGTCACACTACATATCCGGTGAATTTAACTCTGACATGACCAAATGTAGAATGTTGGATCAGAAGACTGTCTTTACTTATCCCTCTACTCTCGTCCTTGGACGTCCAATCAGCCACTCCGACCAGTCATGGTAGTTTTCTTCGGGGGTGGATTTATTCAAGGTGGTGGTTCGCTGGCAGTTCCCCCTTCGGCCTATCCCGTTCTCAATGTTTCTGCTGAGAACGATATACTCTTTGTTTACCCCAATTATCGTGTCAACACATTTGGATTTCTCCCAGGAAAAGAGATTGCAGAAGATGAAAATTCAGATTTGAATCCCGGATTGTTGGATCAGAGAGCAGTGCTTGAATGGGTAAATAAGTATATCGATCAGTTTGGCGGAGACAAAGATAATGTGGGAATTTGGGGGCAAAGTGCAGGAGCGGGAAGTGTGGTGTTTGTTACTCCTTTTTACTACCTCAAGAGCAGTTCTTCTTATACACTGAATTTATGTATTGACTAACGACAATCTCATACAGCGCACAAGTTCTCGCCACTTCCGGGGAAACCACTCCACCCCTCTTTAACCGCGCTCTCGCTTCCTCTCCTTTCTGGCCCAAATCATACACCTACGATGCTCCCCAAGCTCAATCCATTTATGATACCATGACGAACCTGACAAACTGCACTGGTGCTATCAATGGCACTCTACAGTGTTTGAAATCTCTAGAATGGGAGGTTCTAGCCGAGGCCGCGCTAGTTGTTGCGGCGAGTCATACTTGGAATACTAGTAGTTATACGTGGGCGCCAGTTATTGATGGGAAATTCTTGAAGAAAACTTTGAGTGAAGCGACGGTTAATGCGAAGGGTGGTCATGGAGGCAAAGGGGAGCTCGCTATTACAGGGGGGTGGGGCATGTATAATGCGCATGAAGGTAAGATAGATGTCTTTTCCGTTCAGAATGGTAGAATTCAAAGTATTATGTTGAATACTGGATTGGTTTGATACAGCGAACTTTCACCTGGCGCCTCGAGAAAATACTTACTCCATCTGATATTCGATGATACTCCCGGTAGTTTTGGGATACTGAAGAGATATTGAAGAGAAAACATTTTCTTGGAATTTCATCACAAATACAACAAAAACCACGCCCCTCAACCCAAATATTTCTCTTTCAGCCTCAAAGCCCACCTACTAAAATCATCCAACCAGGTGAAAACTTCGTTCCCTCCGGTCTCCAAAACGCCACCAACACCGGCAGTCCGCCTTTCAACTCCACCCTCGCCTCCTTCAACATCTGGCTCGCCGGCTACCTCCCCTCCTTTTCCAAATCCCAGCTCGATGCCGTACGCGCCCTATACCCTCCTTCCGGCACCGCAGAGACCTTTCCCGCCTACAACACTACGTACGAGAGAGCAGGGCTTATATACCGGGACTCGGTATTAGCGTGTCCGGCATTGTGGACGAGCAAGGCGGCAAGTAGAAGTGGATGGATGGGTGAATATACGATTAGTCCCGCGAGACATGGGAGTGATACGATTTATGTAAATCTTCCTTCTTTCTATTTTTTTCCCTTCTCTTCTCTTCTCTTCTTTCCTTCCCCTACTCCAAATTCGTAAGCTCATCTAACCCCCCCACCCAGTGGAACCAAGTAAACGCTGTCCAAAAATCGCAACCGCTCATCTATCAAGGCTACGCAGGCGCATTCGCCTCTTTCATGGCCACCGGAAACCCTAACCAACATAAACTTACAAATGCATCTGAGCCAGGCGTGCCAGAAGTCAAGACCGGAAAGGAGTATGTCATTGCGAGTGATGGGTTTGAAAATGTGGGTATTAATGTGAGAAGATATAGCTTGGAGGCAAGGTGTAAATTTTGGGCTAGTGTTGCGGGGAGCGTGCCGATTTAGAGACCGGGGGGGGAGGGGGGGGGTTGTAAGATATTAGTGGTGATGGTGTGGTTGGCCGAGTCGTGTACTGGGAGTCTTGTATAGCTTGTGATTGAATATTAAGTTGTTCGTATGGATATTGTGGAATCTATACACAGCCTGTCTAGTATTATTATTTACCTATGTGCCTGCAATGCTTTTTAATATGTTTCTCGTAGGGCAGCATATCTTCCTCACAGTTCTAGTGTCGAGCATCAACGGCGATGAACACCCAACGAGGATCTAAGGTAGTGCAAGAATAAAGGTTGTCAAGAAAGTCTAATCACGTCGTTCATCGAAATGAAACGAACATATTGTAAACGTTCTTTGGTCTATAGATGCTCTATCTACGCTTCCCATTCTCACAGAGAGACTCAACAGTCCAACGCAACGTAGGTATCTGCTAGCGCTGTTAGCAATACCTAGCTCTATGTGCAAGATCGCTATGACTGAGACAAATTGAATAGCAAGCAGGTCTACAATCGTAACTTCGTGCACCATTGACTAATTCCCACGCATAATCGCCGGGCATCCCATCCTTTTTAAACCACGTATATCAATCCGTTTATGTAGAAATTTCATCCCCCCAAAAGGAATGAACGCCAACAATACCGACGCCAGACTTTTCTCAACCCAACCATAAAACGCCCGCTTATCTGTTTCCCCGACACCTTCGCCGACACCTTCGCTGAAAGAGTCATGTGTCTACCCGATAATCTCCTTACGATGAAACTCCGAATAGCATATATGTATTTACAACTCCCCGTTTCAAAAAATGGCATTGTCTCGCACTCCATAATAAAACCCTAATCTTCCGCTTCTTCGTCAGTTGCCGTGTCATCGTCTTCAGGCGCATTCTCATCCTCCTCATCTCCACTACTATCATCATCACTCTCATCTTTGTTTAGTCCTGGAATACCTTGCCATTGTACATAGTCATCCTCGATCCACTTCTTTGACACAGGTAATTGATATGGATCAAAAGGAAAGTAAGCATCCAACTGGTGCCAGCTATCATTGCTTGCACCATTGCCCGAGTCCCGCAATGCTCCATTTCCAACTGCACTCGAGAACTGACTTAAACGAATGCGTTTGTTGGTCTCTAGCAATGGATATACGTACATAAATCGTAGATGATGTGCAATTTTAGCGAATTCTGAAACAATGGGCGGGGAACAGATCTTAAGAGGGTTGAGTTTGGAGTAAATAGCACGAGAGAGTGTCTCTTTGATGCCTGCTGTCCAGACAAGGTCTTGTCCAATGAATGCTGTAGGGTCCTCGTCGTCGAATACCTCGGAAGAATCGATAAGATCTCGCCAGCGGAAGCAAAAGATATAAAGTAAAGCTTGTGTCATTGCATAAAAAGTGCCATATTTCTTCAAATCGGGTCCCCGACAAGTGAGTTCATTTTCCATGCGAATGTGATCCAGATTGCTCCCGATGAGCTCGAAAACGGTTCGAACCACTTGAGGCTCAACGTGTGCGCCTCGCGCCACAAAGCTAGCGAGATAGGCCGCGGAAGATTGCCGAAGGACAGCGGGTCTGCCAGGTTGGAAAGCTAGTTGCACGCAGGTTCCAGCAAATTGATCGATAAGATGTTCAGACTTTTGTGCAAAGTGGAAGAGGAGGAACTGTGTGTGTCTAGATCTATATGTAGGTAGAATGATATTGGCGAAATGTCCTAGTAAAGTCTCAAACATATTTGCGGCTTCTATGCTATTTGGGTCTGTGAAATAAGGATCGTAGATAGCAAATAAGCGGTCCAGTATTGCATCCATTTTCTCGACACTTTCTTGAATTTCTTTGGCTCGTTTTGCTTGGTCTCCACTTTCGTCATCGCTATCAATCGAATCAGCGTCGCTATCGTCGGAATCATCTGCGTCATCATCGTCTTCTTCTTCCTGATCAGAAGGGTTCATGGCGAGACCTTGAACAATAGCACCTGCGACCTCATCGCCCACGTCGTCCAAGTCGACCTGCATTTGTACATCGATTTTGACCAGTCTATCGGTGATGAGAGCGAAAACATCCGACTTCAATTCGGGAGCATACTCTAGAAGACGAACGAGATTGTTGATATATGTGACATGTACTCTCTTTGATTCATCGGCAAAAGGAAACTTGGTTGAAAGGATGGGCGAGAGTGTAGCGCTGGCGGAGGGGACCAATCGAAGAAGGTATCTCAGTGCAAAGTGAACTCTCGAAGAAAGTGTATCGCGACTAACATCTGGGCAGCCAGGAAGACGCCCACTCGATACTCGTACTGTATCCAGGTTAGCAGAGCTTGGGAGACTGAGGAGGGGTGACATGCCTCCAGTAAAATTATCAACAAGCGTTCCAAGCACCAGCCCAACGTACGCTCCCTGTGCGCTAACCAAGTTTCCCAGAAACTGAGCATATGCCTTGACGAATCCCTCTTCTCTACCCATCCAGTCGCACTTCAATATGGCCTTAACTAGCCCGTTACAGTCCTTATTCAAAAGTGATGCATAGCCAGTAAGCGCTAGCAGATATGTTTTCGCTTCATCATTTGAACCAGTATCCTCTCTCTCGTCACCCTCAGTCGGCGCAAATACTTCTTTAATGCTATCGTACTTTTCGCTGTCGCCTTTGCCATGTGCCTCTATTGCCCGCTTGACCTCCACTCTGATACTTTCTAAACTTCTACCCTTTGCAACATATTCCTCCAAAACCTTTTCCTCGACCTTGGGATTGAAGGATACTCTCGCTCGTTTCGGATTTGGCACTTCTAAATCGTCATCCAGATCTGCATCTTGAGCTTTTCTTATCGTGCCTGACATGGTAGTTTTTAAAAGTTGTTTGCTACCGGTAGTGATAGGTATTGAGGGTTTCGAAGTAAGAGATACCATATTGCAAGAACGTGCAGTGGACAATTAGAATGTGTTGAGACCATTAATAGTATTAGAAAAATAATTGTTGTGTTGAGAAGACCTATGTTGTGTTCGAAGCAAGGCTACAATTGATGATGGTGGGTTTTGCTCGTGTGCTTTTCTGAGGTAAGCCAAAAAAAGATTTTAGATCTACCTAGTCACATGATGGACCCCAGCTTTGCCCCTCCCTCCCCACTATTGACTATGGAGATATTTGCTGTGCAGTGTGGACATCAGAGGTCCGAATTAGCCTTATCAATGCTTACTGTAATAGTGAACCAATGCAGGATATTCAGATCTTTACTAGAGTAGGTCACTGCAAGAACACTCGCTACATGGTTCAAAGCTCAAAACTAACAGGTGCTTCAAAGGGACACATGCACATGTTGATGGTATCATTATGTTCATTTTCCATTGATATACAAGCCATAGAATGTGTGGTATTATTCTAGCAATCTGATGTGGGGCTGTTTAACCTACATCTGATGCTGTCCTTACTGCTCAATGCTATTCGTCCATCTCTGAGCTTTCATGAGACCGAACCCCCTAAGGTTATCGGCTTCTTGCTCTCACGAGCCAAGAAATCTAATAAAGCATCAAAAAAACACCCCTTACTTTTGACCCCATCCTTTGTACAAGGTAAGCAATTTGGATATCTCAAAAGTGGCCCATTAGCACCCGCCCAATTCCTCCCTTCCCAACACCTTTGCATATAGTTGATACATTCTTGCAATGTAAATCTTTCGCCCATAAAATCCATCGGCCATGCGATATAGTCAATTTGAATCCAAAACAAAACACCTAGTAACCTTCTCCACCGGTAGCACCATTGTGACCACCACCATAAACGTAAGCACCGCCATCGTGTTCTGCTTCTACCTGTTGACCAGCAAGAACATTATTAGCACCCTCTGCTCCGACCGGGAACGCTGCCGAAGTTGCATTTGCAGTAGTAGCTCCAGAAACTGCTCCAAATCCAGAGCTACCTGGTCTATTTTGGTTGTCTCCTCGAGTCGATTGTTGCTAAAAATTTCCGTTAGTCTTGTACATGGTTGGTCCAGTAAGCATGAATCATAGGTAGGGAGATGCTAAAGAATATTTGATTAAGTGACGTGACTCACTTCTCGATATTTTGATAGGTAAATTTTGAGTGCTTCGGCATAATTCTCGAATCCCAAGGAGGTCATGGCGAAAAGAATGTCTTCTCCATTGACAGTCTTGCGCTTCTCTTGATGACATTTCTCAGAAGCTGTGATAGGACAATTAGAACAGTACCAAAATTTATCTAGAACTTCGGACCGAGACATACCTTCGCTTGTGATGAAAGAGATGAATTCGCTGACACATTCTTGCATGCACTCTTTGGCCTCTTTTGCAATCTTTGCATTTTCTGGAAGAGCTGTCTTCATGATACGTGCAACTGGCGCAAAGTTACGAATGTTAGCTTCTGAATGACCAAGATCATATTTTTCTTCCCTCGAGGCGCCTCGCGTCTCCGGTGATTGAGAAGATGAAGTGTGAGACATGATAGGATGTATGATCACAGTAACACCGCTAGATTGGAAAGTTTGTGCTCCAAGCTCTTGACTGGTCCAAAGGCGAGGACATGCGCGTGTAATTAGTGTGATCAACGAAGCGATACCATTCACCATAAACTTCGATATAGGTAATCACACAAGATTCAATTCAAGATGGTGAATGACTGGAAAAAAGAAATCATCAACTAACCATTTGCTATAGGGAGCCATCTATCTTGTTCTTTGACTTCAAACTCGTAGCCTCCAGGAGCGTGTGGATCCGTATGTTCATTCATTTGTGCATCCGTGTCATCTGGCGAGACTCCTTGTTCAACGTCCGTTTCCTTAGGAGGGGAATTGGACATGATGTATTTGGGTAGGTGCAGGTGTCGGATAGCCGCTTCCTCAAAATTCCTTGGTTGCCACGTCGGCCGTATGATGTGTAGGACACGTCGTAAAGCCTTGCGATCTCGCAGTTATGCGTATCTGCGTGTTGACTTGCGTTGACCCTCGAGCAGACAGCCTTCTTTTCCCAATGTGCTTACTCTACCTAGTTGGATGTTGCCGGAAAAACGCGAGTGAATGGGGGGGTACGCCTCCGTCTGAAACTAGGGTCCTTTGAAAGGGTATCACTTTCTAGGCTGAGCTGCAGGTATCCTCCTGCATAAATCGCGTCAGAGGGTCTACAAAAAATTCGGGGATAGGAGGGTGGGTAGAGAATTTTTTGGCATGAAATTGTAAAGAAAGCTTACCCACTTTCGTTCGAGGTCGGAGATATTCAAAGACTTCCTGCACGAATGCGCCTTGTGTTTCTATGTTTATGAAATCTGCAAGACAATGAATAATTGATGCGCGTGGGTTGGGAAAGATAGAAACGTGGGGTTTAATGAATGAAGGAAGGAATGGTAGAGAAGATTCCTTTTGATTGTATGTTTGTATGTTAAGTGCTTTGTAATTGAGGTATGGAACGGCTGGTAGTAATGGTTGTTGGTATGGGATGGATGGGATGGAAGTAGCTTTAGGTAGGTACTATGTATGTATGTATGTATGTAGGTAGCTTTTTTGGATGTTAATTAAAAAAAGGACGATGTAGCAAATCGTAAGCTGGAGGTTAGATGCTAGATAGGTTGTGACCTGTGACCTTATAAGGTTCCAAATGGAAGGAGCTATGATTTTATGATTTTATGATTTTATTAGAATAGCTAGCTTCGAGGCTCTTTCTCTTTTAGGGTCCTTTCATGCCCCGTACGTACTTTGAATCACCAGCACAACAACAGAAAAAGAAAAGTCAACGTGTGGCGGAAATGGTATACCGAGTAGCATCTGGAAGGTATCTGGGCATGAGCTTCTGACAGAGCAAAGGGAAAGTACGGCGTACAAAGCTTGGGATACAGCTCAGCTGGTAAGGTTCATTCTAATTCACTCCAATTCACTCCAATTCAATCCAATTCAATCCAATTCATATGCTCCAGAGGCCGAGTTAAGTGAGATTCAATAAATTGTCAATTTTCTCAACCCTGTATATAGTAGATAAAACCGTACAATTATTACACCTTCTTAATAAGTTCTAAGGTGGAAGAATCACGCAATACGATACCTACTAGGTACTTCCTCTACAGTAGAACTCTCAACAGGTACATCTGGAAACACGGTATGTAGGTGGTAGTATCTTACCTGGGTACTCATCAGGCTGTAGGTGCAAGTGTGAGTATAATAAGTGTAATACCTAGTAATAATAAGTATAACAAGTGAGTGTACCTTGTAGTTGGTCTCGAAGTGGTGTTATGTAGCTATAAAGTAGGTAAGGGGTGCTGTTTATATTGGATCGGTAACACCATTGAGTTGTGAAGCTTGAAGCTTTGGATATACATTCAAGTCCGCAGGTAATAAAAAGTGATCCTTTGAGTAGGTATGTGTGCTTCTCAGCAATACGAATAAATCATCACTGATTCAGTATTTGGGTAGTTCTGGTTGAGTTTCATTGTGTTGTAATATCAACTTATAACTCCCAAAAATTTGTTTATTGTGGACGCCAAAAATTCATCCGGATGTAAGTTACCTCGAACTCTGAATGGTCGACGCAAAAGCTGATCGAGCTTCCAGACGTCAGGTACAAGAAGCAAGGTTTGGTATCGGCTTGGGGATTTTCTCGGAGGACGGTAAGATATGTGAATGGAGAATTCACCTTCTATGCTCTTATCATCTACTATCCAATGAATGAATGAAGCTTCAATGAAAATCGTCATTGGGTATACTCATTCAAACAGAATTGGAAATCAAGTGTATTGATTCGGGGGTCGAGTGTTTATGCCAGCCCTTCACCCTCCAATAGCTTACTATTATTCCATATGCAATAAGTAATTGCTATTCACTCAACTGACCAATACTTCTCAAGATATATGCAGCCTATCAGCTGCACCTCCCATCACATCCTATCCTCAGTCGACCGATGAAGCATTGTTTGCTTGTCAACCATCCCATGAAATGCACTGCATCTGTGCATTGATATCACCAAATATTTATCCATGGTTAACACGACAATGATGATGGAGAGAGTATCTACGATGTTATCTACGTAGGTCCTGTGGAAGTCTTGTTCGGTTACTTTCGTGTTTGTCACAAAGTTGTTTCATTGACGTTGATGAGCAGGTACGATTGCACGTGTACGCAGCAGGAGAAGGCCACATGGGATTGCTCCACATTCGCAATACAGTATCAGGTTGCTGAAGGGGATATTCGATCACTATGATGCGGATGAGCAGGGAAAGGTACCTAGAGACGAGTATATCACGAAGCTCGCTGTCACTGTTGTATCGATTCTGCAAATGGACATCATATCCGTCTCTGTGCAGAAGCATTATGTTCGTCATCCATTAACAAAATACGAGATGAACCATAATCATCCTGCTTCATACCCCCACAGCCGTTATCATTTCTGCAGATGCAGGGTTCTGGTAAGCCTGACGGTGATTGAACAACACACCGCGCTTCTCATGCGAACTTAGCCAAAAATATGAACGTCTCGGGTCCTCTCATTCCTGACAGCCCTTTACAATTGGGCATCAAAGACATAAATTCGAGGCGTTCTCGTTGGGCGTTGAGACGCGAGCCGCCGTGATAATTCAGGACTCAGGCTTGAACTAGCAGGAGTACTGGTTGTTATACAGCGCATCAAAACTACCAGTAATCTGGATATTTTGGGTCTAGAAGTTTTGATTCATCCACCGATTTACGAGCAATCCAATGTTACTATAACCTTGTACAAACTCTCGTGATGCATATAAGAATATCACAACCTTCGGGGTAACTCAGTAAGGAGAATCATTTCGACAAGTCGAGATCTTGGGCATGAACGCTTTCCCGCGTATGTCATATTTGCTTCCCCGTTATGCAAAAGAATAGCCCGGCATGTCCTTGCCTCCTCATTGACTGCCTTATGAGCCAAAGTAGATTTTTACCCATCTTTGTTGTTGATGCAACGCCCATACTCCGAAATATGTGACAAATACTGACGCTTTTACTGCTGCACGACCTGGATATTGTTCTTCTTCTGTGTAACAACACTCGTCAGCAAATGATTGCTACCAAACCAAGGAATCGACCCTTCCATACCTTCCATTTCTCCATTTCTGATTGTTTGCTATTGTATTGCTTGACCAAATCCTCCAAGACTTTCCGTAGACCTTCTGAATTTGTCTTCAAAGCCGGTACTACATCCTTTACAGTCCGCTCAACCAATACGCCATTTATCATTCGAAAGCACTTTCGGTCACCAGGAAGAGGTTCTAGCGTTTCGAGAACAAGTCTGTTTGAATGAGGACGGTGAGCATAAGGCTTTCAAGCGGTGAGAATTTGAATCTACAGATATGTCTTGTATATGTGATCGCCCGAGCCCGGAAGTGATTGATCTCTGTAAGACGGGAATAGAATAAGCCTGGAACTCACTTGTGCTCCTCTGCTTCTGTCTCTACATCACCAATTTTCGAGGCTATTTGCTGTAGACCATTTTTGTAATTTGTGTACTGGTTTTGGAGCTCTGATAGAGTGTCAGTTGATGGTTCCAATTTGTAATAAGGTATGTACCTTGCTGCTTGCGCGCCGTAATCTGTTGCGCCATTTTTAAAAATTAAGACTTCGGAATGACTGGGAAGTTTCGTTCCTTTGAATCACAGAGAAGGATAGGAGATTGAGTCGAAGAGTAAGTAGGTACTCAAGTAAGATGAGCGCGGGACACCCACTAAAATTAATACTGCCACTTTCACCGCCTAGAATTATCCCGAATACCTTCGAGCGATCTTTCGAATGTCACAATCTATTACTCAAAACAAACATCGATCTGGGATTCCACATTCAAGAAGAAGTATCAAAATGCATCCTCATCTATGGACCAAAGACAATTCTTCAGGTACTATATTCAACCTCTTATTCCCTTACGAGCCCTATGCATGCATTTGGGAAAGCTCATCAGATCATTTCGACAATCTCTAATATTCAGTAGCTTGCGAAGAAGTTATGGCAGCTTTGGACGAATGCCATGCCAGAGGATTCCTGTGGAAATGTATGGGAATGTGCAACGATAAAAAGACAGCAGTAAACAAGTGTCTTAGGGCGCAACGACTTGCACGAACGGCGGCGAACCGAGAAGCCGCAAAAGTCAAGAACGAGAAAATCAAAGCGAAATGGGCAGAGATAGATGAGGCTTCATGAGGGTATAAGTCAGATTTTGCAGATACTTCTTAGAAATTGGGTCATGGGGGAAGGGCGTTGGTTTACGATGAGTGGCGTTTGGATGTCATTGAATGTTGAACCGTATCGGCATTACATTTCGGATGAGACGTATGCCACAATGATACAACTGGATCGACTTGATAAAAGAGAGGTGTGTCGGATGTGGAGTAGGTGCCATATTAAGTGTCTGTACTTCGCGGATGAGACCATATCAACAACTCAACTCAACTCAACTCAACCATTATGACAATCATCTAGTGAAAGACTTTGGAATATTTTTATTACTGAAGTATAACATCACGCCAAATTTGATCAATTTTGGAACACGCCTGGCCTGGTATGCCACTTTTACTTTCGCGCTCTGAATGCATTTCCGAAGGTAAACAACCCGTACAAGGCAAGTAAACTTAAACCCGCTGGTAAAGGTTTTTGACTGCGAATTGCTCTTGGAATGGAAGAGCCTGCAAGAACAACAGATGCGAGAAGAGCGAGTCTGTAAAGAACAATATAAGCATTGGAACAAAGGTAAATGGTTAGACATGCACGGTGGATCAAAAAGACATACTCAATGCCATAAGACAAGCGGCTTTGAATACGATAACCACCCAAGAGGTACAATGATCCAACAGTGAGACCTGCGGCGACAGATGGAATACTTCCAGTCCTGACATAACCCATCGTTCCACCACCCGCAGTGAGTGCACCTAGGATATATGCTGGCAATTCGATTCCCTAGGCACCGTCAATAAAATGTACATGTTCAAGGACTAGATTCATGAACCCACCATATTTGCGATTTGTTCTACAGTTAGATTCAGATTGAGATTGATTGATGAGACGTTTCCTATGATTCGATACTATTCGGTAGTTGTGTGATATCTTATTTATCAGTATTACAAAGCTAGAGCAATTGAATGACGGAAGCTACCCCTCGGCTCTGCCCCCATGCGGAAACCCCTGTAAACGCATCAAGCTTCGTGGCCTCCGAGCTCTAAGCCAAAATTCACAATTCACAACCACAATCTTCACACTTTTCCAATTACACCACGAATTTCAGGTTCTTTCCTTTCCACGCATACGATCCTTTTAATTCCGAACAATGGCGCCAAAGAAGAACGCTGCGGCTGCTGCTGCCATCGCACCACCCACCACACAAACCACAACTACCACAACTACTATTCCGTCCTCTACACCCATTAAGATACCCTCCAAATCCTCTTCGCAAAACCAATCGCCTCAACAAGTAGCAATCGGTATCTGGAAAACCTACCTCGATAAAACACCACAGAGAACAAAGTTGATCGATGTGTTCATGTCATTTTTGGTTGTAGTGGGGGTACTACAATTTGTCTACTGTATCTTGGCTGGCAACTACGTAAGTACCATATTGTACTTTGGATACGGGTCGTATTGAAGGGACATATGGCGATCAATGGAGAACGATGTGCGTGTGGTTAGTGAAAGGTCATGTGCTAACACAATCGTAATAGCCATTCAACGCATTTCTTTCTGGATTCTCGGCAACTGTAGGACAATTCGTTCTCACGGCTTCATTACGCATACAGACGAACGAGGAGAACAAGGCAGAATTTAACTCCGTCTCTCCAGAGAGGTATGTAGTGCTCATTTATTGATGATTTGGGGTACTGCTAACAATATAAACAGGGCTTTTGCAGATTACGTTTTTGGAAGTTTGATTCTACATTTCTTTTGCGTCAACTTCATCAATTAGATGTGTGAATTTTAAGGGAGCTCTGGTGCAGCGTAGTGAGACAGATTTTGCAGGGACTGTAGGATTACCAAAAGCTGGGGAGGAATATATTCCCATTATCATGAGTTATAAGGGTGTTTTTTTGTTTTTTTTGTTTCCCAAGCCGCAACTGCATATAGAAATGTGGAACTACTAGCTATACATTTAGTGCTATCTCGGACAGTTAATCAACACCACTATCATATGGATCTTTCGTCTCTGTGGGTATTGGACTGGGCGCCGGGCTTGCGGCTTTGGGCGTCCCACTCCTTGGAGGGCCTCCTGCTTTAGGAGGTGGAGGCACACCACCACTCTTCGTGCTCGGCGCATGGTCTAACTCTCTACTCTTTTTCTCTCCTTCCATGAAATAGTCATCCATGAAGTTATTCGGATTGTGCCCATGTTTCTTCTCTTTCTTCCTTGCTGGTGTCGCGGTTACTGGGGCCGCAAGTTGCGCTGGCACCAGAAATTCACCTGGCTCTTGTGCCACTGCAGCTGGCACAAATATTTGACTTGTATTGCCTTCGCTCCCCATCTTCTCCCGAGGTTCCTCGTTTGAAAACCTCGCGCTCTCTCCTTCAAACAATGTTTCTCCTGGTCCAGCAACGGGCTCGCTCAACGGAGCTGGCAATCTATGTAACGCTCCATATCCCAAAGTACAACCCAGAGCTCCATCCCCACCCCAGTCTCTACTCGGATGGATAGTGATTTCCCTTGTAACATTGTATTCATTATTGTAAATGTAAAGTCGTAATGGTCGTCCAATGTGATCTTCGACTAATTCGCCCAAACCACTCTCTCCGTGTAAAACCCCCTCAGGTGTGCCGAGAATATAATCGCTGTAAGGAAGGAGGCCCGCGAGGTCGGCTGGAGAGTTGGCAGGTACGTCTAAAATATGCCATATATTTGAAACGGTGGAGAGAGATGTCCATTGAAGAGTCAGGCCTAAGGATGGAGTATCAGAAGGAACGGGAATATGGATAGTTCGAGTACGTTGGCCCTGGATATGTTAGTTTGTCGAATGTGAACGAATCGCGAGGGAAATTATGCCTTTGCGCTCCAGAGACCAAGAGTTACTGAACTTCCAGCACAATTGCGTACTTCTTGGGCAAACAGATTTGCATCAGAATCGTCCTAAGTTAATCAGCTATGCCAATGGTATTGAATAAGGAAACGCACGATCATTCGTCCATTAATTCCGACAATAAAATCAAACCAAGGTTCAACAGCCAGTTCTGGGGTCTTGTTCCTAAGAACTTGGAATCCAAATGCGGCATGATTGTCCCGGTTCTGGTGAGCGGGAGAGTCCGAATCTAGTCGAGAAATAAAGCGGTTTAACGCGTTGAACATAGTGAAATGGGAAATCCTTAGAAGTGTTATTTATTGAAGCTCTAGAGAGACTCAGTTGACATATTTGAGACGTGTTGTTCTCAAGGTGCGACCCTTGCTTTCATCATCAGCCTTGCAGCTACAGTATGGCCCAAGCTTCTTTCAAATTGCATGTGGTGTGTGTGGAAGGCTACCATGACAAATTTCAACCATTCACTTCATCTTTTTGAAGTTTGCAAAAGGAAATGGATGGTGTAATATTCCACTTCATGTACGTATCAATTCTGTCTGAAGCATTTCAATCATGTGCCCCGAAGTCACTGACCATTTCCAGATAGTACCTGAGTCAGTCGAGTACTTATTCTCTACCATCTTCTTCAATTGGTTCAGCAAGGTTGAATCTGAAGGATCCACACGTGGAAAATAAAAGTGCTGTTGGAAACAGAAATACAAGATTTACTCGTTTCTGCTGGATGTCATCAACCAAAATCTTGAATCGTCTCAAAGTATTCATTCCACATACGTACAGACACGGCAACAGAAAGAGAAGAAACCGACAATCTTTAGAAGATATACTACCTCTACCAGCACCTGTTCCATTGCCTCATCCTGAGACGTCATTCTGCCAATTAAATTCTGGAAGACGTCCCCAAGTTATTATCAGGCAAGGACCTGGTGTTTATCGAGCAGCGCAGTTCATTTTGAAATTGATGCCAGGAAGACACCAATATCACCTCCAGCAAGGAGCGCGACTGACACGAACTCTGGTTTAAGAATTCTCCGGCCTGGTAGTGCTTTCCAAGAAATTAAACAGGTCTCCCGACGCAGAATTCGATCAGTCAGCCCCTTAAAGTCACGAGGTTCAAATCAACAAATAGATACCATCAGATCACGAATTTCGAAATTTGTCCTCGTCAGACTAGTATTGTGACTTTCACCCCTGCGTCCCAAAATAGGATCTACTTGCTTTTGTCTGACCAAAGGATAGTGCGTCATTTGCTGGCTATACTGCAAGCCACTCGGCGTCAGAGTAGTAGGAAGTGAGCGAATCTTGCCATCTTCAAGGGGCTGCTGAACAGCTCGAGAACTTTAGTGAGTACGACTTCAAGTCCACACATTTGAGTCAAGAACCTTCTCTTCTCACAATAGCTTCATCGCCAAAGTCCACAAGGAGAATTGAGTCAAAAATCTAGTTCCAGCTTAGGAACCTTTAACAATGGTCGTCAATAGCAGCAAGTCGTTTGGACATGCAGCCGTGAAAGAATATGAAGAGAACCAAGATGACGATACCCCCGCCCAATTTGAATTGGACGAAAAATGTACACATTACACCTCCTTGAAAGAAGTACCTTGGGATCTACATAAGTAGGTTTGCATGTCATTGTGTAAGTCTCATTCGACTGACATTTTAGATACTGGCAGCAGCGTTATAGCGTGTTCTCACTCTACGATAATGGTATCTATATGACAGACGATGCTTGGTTCGGCGTTACCCCTGAACCGGTAGCTACGTATGTCTCCCTCATTACACGCGCACCTGTCCATATACATCACTAACTGTACATAGTCAAATCGCTCAGGACTATGCCTCTTCTACATCACCCACAAAAACAACTATAATTGATCTATTTGCTGGCGCTGGAGGCAACTCCATCGCGTTCGCTCTCTCCAACCGTTGGGCCCATGTCATAGCCATTGAGAAAGATCCCTCGGTTATCGCCTGCGCTGAAAACAATGCCTACGTCTATGGTGCCACAAACATAACTTGGGTTAATGGTGACTGTTTTGAGTATCTCAAGACCCACGCCTCTTCTATTAATCCTTCAGAAACTGTCATTTTCGCATCCCCACCATGGGGAGGTCCTGGCTATACTTCGGAAAATATTTTTGATCTGAGTACTATGCAACCATATTCTGTGCAGTATATTCACGAGGCATGTAAGGCAATGGATACAGCATTGTATCTTCCAAGAACCAGCGATCTCAGACAAATCTCTGCATTGTTGCCCGATGGAAAGAAGGCTGAGCTTGTGCAATATTGCATGGAGGGAGCGAGTAAGGCGCTAGTGGCGTATATCCCAGCCATTCAATGATAACGATTTGATCGGTTTGATGAAGACTTCAAAGATCCGGGTGGAGCTGCAAGTCGAGGTGCCTTGAAGCCTGAGGGCTGAGGGCTGCAGCATGCGGTCTATCATGTGGGGATGGGTATAAAATTTTGTTGCATATCGGCAATTCCTGAGGCAAATGGCGGGAGAAGCCTTGGCCACATGAGCAAAATATCGAAATATGCAGATGGCATCAAGTAGCTTATGATCTAAATCTATACATATGAGAATGAGGGTAGCTACCTCTAGTATTTGAAGGGCTTGGTTTAAATCAGTTCAAACTATACATTATGTCACATAACTTATATATCCAAAATTACACAGTTTACATATCCACAGCCTCATCTAACTAAAGTCCTATCACTTCCTGCTGTCCTTGAATTTTGCAGCACCTGCTGTAGCCTGGTCTGTATCGCCTCCAATATCGCTCTCTCTTCGTACTCCAAAGGTAACCAGCTAGGTATAATAATGTGATGCTTATCAATCTTGATTGTTCCTTCTTCGGAAGTGTGTTGGATTTCGGTTGGTTGCTCCACCCCACTAGCACTTTCTGAACTCTTCTCGATGTCGTCTTCAGACCGGCTGCTCAGCGAATGCGGCGTCCACCAGTATGTGGGAAAAGTCCTCTGTATGTTATTGACGACACAAGCGACAGCAACCAAAAGAGCGCTCCCCAATAGGACCAAAGGTATTAGATACCATCCTATCTCCGTGATCTCAGGTGACGTAGCAGCTAACAAAGCAGTGGCTCCAGCTGGTGGATGAATCGTGTTGGTCAAGCCCATCACAGCAGAAGCTACACCGACTGAAAGAGCACCAGCCAACCATCGTAGGTTTTGAAAGTCTGCACTAAGTTCGAACAATTTTGTTATGCCGACACCAATGATGGAGGCGAATACTTGACCCAGGATTGCATTTCGTGGCTGGGAGAGAGGAGAATCGATTGTATTATACTCCAAAATTGCGGCAGCGCCCTATCATTATGGTTAGATATAACGAGACTCCATGGTAGCTTCTGGTAGCATACCAAACTTGCGATGACTAATGGACTGCCGCGTTCTTTGAAGTATGGAAGTCGATATATATTTTCGACAATTGCAATGCCGCAGAAAGCACCAATGAAGGCCCAAAACCAAACAACTAGACTACCAGTTCGAGACCTCGGCTTACTTCGATACCCAAGGAACCAGGAGATTGGCGTTGGGAGTACGTAAAGTCTAGGGGAAGGAATGATACGATTCAGATAGTAATCTATATCGAAATCTAAGTTGGACATTGGTCCTAACTTTGGGCCAAGAACTTTGGTAGCTAAACAGAAAAGAAACTTTGAAGGAACCTCTTTTACATACCAAGGAATACAAACCATGTATATAGTAAGAAGGGAATTAAGCATAAATCAAGCGCAAGAGTCATATAAAAAATATCAAACAAAGCAACAATTCACTCCCAACTATGACATAAGGGAAATCTTCCAAATCTCAACATCTCCGGTGAAAATGAGTTACACAGACGGAATCAATGCACAAGACTATTCACAAGTGAGCAAAACGCATTGAATGAGGTACGAGCTAAAGGAGTCCTGGAGAAGCGGAATCCGGGGTAGAAGCCAGGAAGAGGATTGACAGATATTAACAATATATCCACGATATTGTGTCAGTCGAAACAACGCACGAAGGGACCCCCAGGAAGCGTGAAATCTCCGCGTCACCATTGCACATGATGATTCTAGATGCCGAATGTGTGCGAGGAGAGTGTGTTGGTGCTTGCTGTTGCTAGTTGTTAGGTTTCGAAAGGAGACGCGATGACACATAGAATTCCAAATTCACCAGTAGCATTGCTGATCTTTCGGGATATATTGGTGCCTCAGGTCGTGGAGCTTCCGATGCTCCGACAGTTGTACGGCCAGACAGCTCTGCCGGCAGGTAACCTCGAGGTCACTAATAAGATGTTTATGATTTATTAGCAAGTCAATACCTACGTTCTGATGCTGGATTTAACTCGTACCTCGCTCGGTGTGTGTACCGGGTCGGGTGTGCGGAGTATATATATATATTGTGTTGGTCTGATTGATCGCCTCATGCTACTGTTCGTATTGCGGTATTTTTGGAAACGTCTAAAGATCCCCTTGCAGCCGGATTTGGGTGTCGCTCACTGTTTGCATGTTCAGCAGTTCAATAGCACGGTACCGATTGCACCTAATCGTGTGAAATTGCTATGTCGTATCATCCATCGTATTGTGTGTGCGCAGTCTTGCAAGCGCTGGCCCCACTGAATACCCACCACAGGTTAATTTAACTTGTACGAAGCACATACGAAGTACACTCGTGTGGAGCTCGAACCTCACACTCTGCAACTTCAGCATCCCATATCCTACCTGCATTTGGCCTGTTTATGCTGTTCCTTTTGCTACAGGAGCTCGCAGGAGTAGCGCTCTATCGACTCTTGATACATACATCGATCAAGTTGGATTGACGTGAATGTGCTTTGGTTGTCGAGTACCGAGAACTCCCTACGCCTTTCACGGAATTTCCTGTCTACCCTATTTCTGTAGCATTTGGAATTTTGGATAGGAAGTCGGTTCACAACGATTTGACGTGAGGAATGTCGAGGAATGTCTGGGCAAGACTTGGCACAGGCTTCATTGTGGATTAGGCTGTTGTCTACAAATAAATGCCTTCTTTTTCTTTTTCGTGAATACGGTCTCTTAGATAGACAGATAAGCGCCACGGTATATAAAACTCTAAGCCTCGTCTATACATGAGAGTTCAGCTACATATTACAAGTGTTTTGTCCCTTATATACGTAGCCAAGGAATACTCAGACATTGCTTCGATTCGCATACTTCCTCGTTCTACTCTCGACTTCAACTTTGACTCCCCACCTGATAAATCAGTCATCAGCTGTATCGCGGCAACGAGACCATTCTATCACAATCGCCTGTCATTATGTACACTTCCACAGTCGTTTCATTTGTTTGTCTCTTTATGGCCTCCATTGAAGCCATTGTCATACCCACTACGAATCAGATGAGAATATTTGTTGAAAACATCGAGAATGTCGAAAATGTCGTCGCCTATATTGGCGTCAGCGGCGTCAACCTTGGCTGGTAAAATATCTATATTCCCCCTTCTCATCGCCTAACCGACTAACATCCCAAAGTGTGGTATCCGATGACAACTTCCCTGCCAAGTCCGAGATATTCAGCAACACTGGCATAGCAAATTGCTGGAATTGGAGCGAATCAGTTACCAATCTTGAAGTCACCTGGGGAGATTTTGATTGGATCAGTCTATATCGTGGCTCCGATTGTCATTCCAGCGACAACGTCACATACTTAAAGGACGATATCGATCTAGCCGATGGGCAATCATGTCATTCGACAGATGTAGTGAGGGGTCGAGAATTCGTCAATTTACTTTCTAGTGGCTCAATACTGTTTGGAAGAGGTAGTGCACCTCCTAGTGATATACTTATGCTTCCGAAAGCCACTCTATCTGTGGACTCTGTCGTCAACAGATTAGAGATGTTAAGGAATGGGGAACTATAAACTCCATGGTAGATGCATTGTACTGTTTGTTGGTTTTATGGAGTCAGGCGGTTGCGATACCCGGAGGAAAGGAGTTGATTCATTGAATATTCATCAGTTATGCCCATTAAAAAACACCGCTTCTATGACACTATTTTTCAATCATGAGATGAGAACATGTGAAACTGTAATCATCTTGCAATAGTAGTCACTGCCATCTCCACAATATGCGACGAAACCAGGCGAATACTTACTCCAACGTGTAAGACCTCGCTCTACAGTAATGGGATACGAGCAACGATTGTCTGTACATATTATTCGGTTCGTTGCATGAACGACAGGTAGGAGGCGGATGAAACTCGTGAACACGCTTCGGCTCATGTTTAATATCAGACACATGCTACTTGATCTATAAAGATCCAGCACGATGTGGTATTCTCACTTCTACAAAGCCGACGCAGCAAGCTCCTCATATTGCTCCTTGCAGAATTTCTAGCTGTTCATGGCTTCATCGAGGTGTTACTGCTTCCTCTCAAAAGACCTGTATATCTGGGTCTCTAGAAAAAGGCCCGCTGTTACACTTTACTCTCTATTGCCCGCTCTGAATGCCATGTCTATTTTCTGGTGCTTGCGTGCGTTCAGAAACTCTTTATTTGATTGTCTGTTCATCTGTTCTTATTTCATACGGACGATATTTAATGATTTGGTAGTTTACGAAAGCAAGCAAAGTGCTTCCATCTCTTTTCCGGGACAAGTATATGGATAAATTCTCCACGATTCTGACTGAGATGAGATATTTCGATGAGGTCATCGTTCATGGTTCTTCGGATCTGTGCATTTATGACATATTTAGGATTACGAAGGTCTGCGTAGTTAAGAGAACGGGGAAAGGAGAGAGTACAAGTGAACTTCGAAGTATATTGCTGTCTTTGGGGGGGGGGAATGCTTTCTTCGTTGGGATGGAGTTCCGAGTATGAGATAGGATCGAAGTTGAATATGGCCCCGAGTTTGATTTTCAGAGCCATAAGGCCGCCGAGATTGAAAAGTTTTACGAGGAGATACTATGCCGGCTGATATAAAGGTTTCTGAAACTCGCGGCCTTTCCTCTCGAGGGCAAGATAAAAAGGAAAGAGTTAAAAATTGGAAAGTATGAAATGGATTGTGGTCCAAAATCGAAAGACAAAATTTAGAACTGTTGATATTGGTGATGGTACAAATCAACGGCCTCTGGTATCTTAGACAGTAAAAGAACAGGGTTGGCCATCAGGAGAAACCAATGATGGCAGCGGCAGAAGGAGGATCAACACCCTATTGATCTCAATCTCGAACGAGTAAATATAATGCCAGAAGTTGAACACACTTTCATAGCGACATGTCTCGAATAACTCACTGTAAGAGGGCAGATTTGATTTGGCTCGATGGATTTCACGGAAGCAACAGTGTATGTATAGACTCAAGAGCAAAAAAGACATCCAATTAATGATCCCAACAATCCTTCTGATCATTTAATTAGTATTGTTTAGGAATTCGTATACAATGATTCAATATAGGTGAACAAATGAGTTTATTTGTTTTCAAAAGGCATGAATTGAAGTCAAGATATGTCAAGATTCGTCAGAGGTTAAGGGGCGTCTCATCAGTCTAGAAATCTACTCGTGGGCCGCCACGGCTCATGATATAAGGTTAAGCTTCTACTTTAGATTTTAATGGTCCCAAAATGAGCGAGCTAAGGACCGAAATTATGCGTCAAACAATCTATAGAAAACCAAATGCGAAAGTAGTGAATGTATTGATTGTCCATCTAGCGGAAACGCCGTCTTAGATATTGTTCAATTGATCTGGATCTCTGTGAGAAGCACCCCCATCTTTCTAGCATGATATTTCTCTTCTAAAGCCTTTCTTTCAAAAAACAAATCCCTACACTTAAGACTGGAAAGGAAACTCAAGTTATTGATGGGTGAGCACAGTGAAATATATGACCGAGGTGAAGTGTGAGAAGAGTAAGAATACTATAACATTCTTGTAGTATAGGTAATATGTAACATATGTTACATTGGACCACATCCGACAGTGAGCATTTTAAGCCACCGGAAAGTGCCAAATAGGAGGCCCATGTGATCAACCTGCTCTTTTTAGGCCCATATTATTAATGAAGATGTGAACTGACGATTGAAAGGCTTGCATGTGTGTTAACGTATCAATTGAGGAAGGAACATTGAAGGCTTGGTGAGGGAACGAGTAGCCGAAGGATTGTCACCATCTGACAAAAGGGGAAGCGACAATGAATTAACAAATGGTGAGAGCTTTGCTAATCCAGTTCATTCGTAGCATCATTTTGAATTTGCTCTATTTCAGACTACTCACACGCCTCATACGCAAAATGTGAGCTCGTCTTTGATTCTAACCTCACGCCCTATAGAAAATTAACCTTGCTCCATTTGAACCCTCTCAAAGGCTCATCTCTTTTCTGATTTGAACACATCCATTGCTTCTCCGTGTAAAGAAGTACAATACAGATTTATATATTCATGTGAATCCGAAACCATGGCCGTCTTTTGAATTTGATCTCAAGGTAGCATGACTGTCTAATAATAACAACAGAGCTTTCAGCTAAAAATTCAATAAGAAGACATAGCTGTATACTATCAACGCTCTCTATCGTTAGAGGAACACAGCGATCTAGAAGTTTCTACTAATAAAAGATATGCTACTACCCACCTGCTGTGGACGTCCAACAGGTTGCGTGAGCCTAGAATCAAGAAGATTCGATTGATGTAAGGAATTAATTCACTCTATACTCTTTCCGGAACCATCTCGACTTTATCCAAAAGGGTTTCACATATATGTTACATACAGTACAGTGTTTGATGCAGTTACGACATCCAGCTGGTCATGCAATTACAATGAACCCTACTAGCTGCCTGTATTGTACCACACAGAACGAATGGCTAGATAATTAACTAGTCTGGACTCGCAAGCACCAACATCATTCCGATTCTAACCAATTGTACCACTACCTTGATATTGTCTATCATTGTCGGCTCAAACACAAATTAGAAACAAAAACGGGCATCGATGAAACATCTCTTACCTGCAATACCACCCAAACTTCCTTAGCTATCTGCATACATCGCAACCCCTCGCATAATCATCAGTCAATCAGCGAACAAGCAATAAACCTCACATGTCATCAGCCAAGAAAAAACCCCGAGGAATGTAACTCTGCAATGTACCTCTCAATCATACATCGACAGTTATGTAAGGCACAGTCTTCTTCGACGTGGGTCAGATTTTAGATGGCAGAGTAGTAGAATACGTAGTACGTACTCTCACCAGTTCCTTTCTTTTCTTGACCCTATTCAGACACATGCGAAACAACCAATTGCAGGTGAGCATGGCGTGTGAATCGCGACATACATGATTATCAAGGCGGAAACGGCACGGGAGTTTCCTTTCTGAGCCATTTTCACATAGACATATAAGGATCGGATGGAGAAATGGCTCCAATGAGTAATGGAATCGAGGCCAGCATAAATGTGCGGTCGTGATAATGGAAAATTTGCAGTTGATCGCATTGCGCCGCTCGGTTCGTGTGCGCAAAACTTCAAACTCCCATAGTGTTATGTGGGTGCAATGCAATGAATGGCACATATAGTTACAATGGTACGCCAATAAGGTTAGATATTGTTCGGCGATCAATGTTCAAGTTAACATTTCAATACTTTTAATTCTTTTTTTTTCTTTCAATTGTTTTCTTGTCTTGTCTTTTGCATATTCAAACTTGTCCAAAATAGCCACAAGGAAAAAGAAAGAAGTCTGAAGTTTCAGCCCCCCACGGTCACCGCGCCTACAGATTAGGCAATATTCTAGAAATATCAGCTTGTTATTCGCGATCCTATCCCATGGTACATCGACGAAAAAGTCTTTCTCCAGGAAAGGAAGGAGCCTTTTCGAGAAAACGGCTTCATGATGAGAAATCATCCGTATTGGGAATTCCAAATCCGTTTGCCAATCGTAATACTCCGATATTGAAACCATGGACCGAATTAGGTGAGTTCTGCAGGAACAGGCAACACCTCCTACACTCTTCCCCCCCACCAAACTACGCCGTGAAAATTTCTTCGAGAAAGAGGCACAGGCTGATGTTGTGGCGTCGGTCTTACGACGTCTTGATAGAGATATGGCAACAGTAAGTGTTACCTCGGTCTTTTCTCACCAATCCTCCTGCGTGGTTGGCTATTCATGATATCGCAAAGAGGATTCCGAGAATTCTCGCTCGCAATACGACATTGCAACGTCTTTATGTATATTATACATGTGGTGGGTGCAATGTATGTAATGTCAGCTGTGCATTCTCCATGCCATGGAAGGATTTGGCGTGTGCTTGTTACTATACTGGTACTCTGGTTTCCTACACGAATTCCTCGAAGGATTCGACGCTGTTTTCTCGCGTTTGATAAGTGTGGTTTTTAAGCATGAGTGCGACGTTGCGCTTGTGTAATTGATGACATGGAGGGGTCCTTTTTGGTCGTGGAGGGGTTATATAATCACTTGACTTTTGATTGAAGGGGAATGAGTGGAGGGGGGAAAATCAGCTGACTGAGATGAGATGCTAATTGTTTGTGTGAAGGGAGGATAATCACTTCATCGAGACGGGATATCGGTATGCAGTCTACTTTTCCTTCCTTTTTGCTTGCCTTGCATTGCCTTGACGTTGCATTCATCTCAACTTATTTAGCTCTCTGAGTAAGGCGTGGGGGATGGGTGCCACGTGGGTGCTTGAAGCTAGAGGAATTTGTAAAGAACTATTTCTAATATTCGACTTTTCTTGATGATAGAGCGGCATCTAATTCTCTTCGAGAATGTTTTGCAAGTTGGGGATACCTCCACAATGAGACTAGTAAGAATAGACTGACCCCAATGTTACAATATCCTCACCGTGCATGGATGATGTATAATGTTCGAGATACTGAAGCTAAACAAGCACGTAGTTAACATTTGGTCTCATTTAATTGGGGCAGCGTTGTTCGTGGCTCTACCGGTCTACCTGTACAAGGCTGAGATACCACCTAGATATGCCGTGGCTACCAAGGAAGATATCGTGGTTTGTGGGATATACTTCTTAGGGGTGGCGGTATGCTTTTGCTTGTCGGCAGTGTTAGTTGATAATCTTTGTCCTTTGAACATGAGGAGGCTTTGTAACTGATGTCATCCGTAGGTACCATACCATAATGAACCATAGCCAACAAATGGACACATTTGGAGCCCAGCTAGATTTCCAGGGAGTCATTCTTCTGATGTGGGGAGCAACGATTCCTCTTGTATACTATGGTTTCTATTGCGATACCGCAATTCACAGGTATTCTTATTGGGCTCTGGTGATAAACCTTCCTGTCTGTTGCTGGGAAGAAGCTAACTAGAGGAAGTTATCACTACTAGCAGTCGCTTGCTCAGTATCTACCTTTCAACCTCATTTTCGAGATCCATTTCTTCGACCTGTACGAGCCGCCACCTTTGGCAGCTTAGCTGTGGTCACAATGGTGCCTGTCGTCCATGGTGCGACTGTATACGGCTGGCAAGTACAAAATCAACGGATGGGAATCACCTGGGTTTTGATCACGTTGATGCTGAATGTACTTGGTGCAACAGCGTATGCCATCAAGGTAAGAAAGTGAATAAAATTCTTTGAAGAGATTACTATTCCCCGCAAAATAAGTTGTTCTGACCGAAACAGTTTCCCGAACGTTGGTTCAATAAAACGTTTGATCTGTTTGGAGCTTCTCATCAACTCTTCCACATGATGGTGGTACTTGCAGCTCTCGTGTACAGCAAAGCTATTTTACAAGCATTCGACTTTGCCCATGCATACGACCACACATGCAACCGATGAACGTACATACATACCGCTTTCTTCGGATACCGCCAGAACCAATCTTCGCCATGCCATGCCCATCCTCTCTTCACCGTTCATAGCGCTTTCAAGGATTGTATGGCGGGCCAGACTTCCACCCACACTCTCTTACATACTTCAAGAAGTCTCGTGATTTGGACGGCCCATGGCAATCTGACGGTACATCCGGATATGGAAATAAACATCATAGCGCACACCGCAAACGAGCCTGAAGATTATTGAAAGGGCGAAAAGTAAGGTATTGGCATCTCTCAATCTTCGGTTTTCAATTCGAAGCAGAAGAAAGCGAGACACGTGTACAAAAAAAGGTTCACCTACTTTCATATCAACACCCAAGCTTGTGGAGAATGACAAGTATTGTAGATAATATAGAGTGCATAATTACTATCCATAATACATTGCTAGCAAATCTATCGTAGACCGCATAAACTTTTCCATCCGTCCAACGGGGGATAGCTTCTTCATGCATATGCCTCAACCTTGGTGTACCAGAGTTTGATCTTCACGACGGCATAAACTTCCGCAGCAAATCATAACAGCGGATATGATATTACTATTGCCCCACCTGCTTTCTCTGCGGCATCGACCGCGAATCGTCCGGTTCATGCGATGCCTTGAAGCAGCTCTGGCAATAAGTTAGAAAACGAAAACCTGGATATGGAAGATTGGAAATGACGATGGATATTGGAAAAGGACAAGGTCATGGATGCCGTAACTGAAATTGTTCTGTGGCTTCATGAAACGTTCTCGAAGGCCCGTCAACAAGGTTGGCGGATATCTAATAATCCCTCAAGAGACAAGAGTATGTTAATCCTCGGAGAGCATGCTACGTTTTCGGTGTGAATGTCCGAGGCTGCATACAAAAGTGGGACGCGCACTTTTTTAATTGTGTACGATGTATATCTGAGCTTTCTGAAGGTTTGTTGTGTGTGGATGGGTAGCCATTAGGTGGATGCTCTGCCACTGGATGATTATCTCTCTTACGAACATCCGACGTTTTGTTCTGCTTCAGAGACAAGAGGGAGATCAATCATCTTCCTGGAAGCAGTGGCAGGGTTTGATATGGAACCCTCAATTGAGAGTCAGGGTGTCTGATTTGGCAGCGGACGGGCCCCCATTTATAATAAACACCGGAAGCTCAGTAGTGTACCAGAACTTCGACACAAATGGACATGGTTTGTGAAGTATTGGGATGAAACTTATCTCGCTATCATCTCTCAATTTCTCAAAGCATCACTAGAACGTCTGCACCCCTCACAATCGATTTTCCAAAACCTTCTTTTCAAGAGCTTACGGCATCGCCTACGGGTCCAAGTGACTAGGTAAGAACTGCCGACACTGGTATCTGAATGTAGTACACTCTCATTTCGGCCTGAGATCGACGTCGTCTCGAACGGTTGCGGAGGGATCCTCGAGTAATTTGTTCTTGAATAGCTTCGTTATTGATATTTGTAAACCCACCCTGAGCCACCTACTTGAATGAAAAAGTTTGTTATATGGCAGTAGATCATACTAATGAGACATGTACTGCGTATATCCCTTCACAAAGGGTCCTCTTGTATTGGACCCTTCCTTTGGTCTCACTATTAAAATAGGTTATGGACTAAGAGAGCTGTTATCGATAGTTTAAGCTTTTTGCCGCCGCTCAGGCTGTAGAATAGAATACAGTAAGACATATCAGTGGCAAACACATTTGGAAGATGCTATTGTCATGGAAGAGTTTGTGTCAGCAAATTGACTTTCTCCAACATGTTTGAACCCCGTTCTTCCTTCTATCCGAGCATCGCCGCTGGTTTAACGGTGAGCCTCGATGCATAATCTATAATCCTCGAGGGTAGAGAACGAAAAATCCGGGGTTTTCGAGCCAGTTCCAGTCCTCCCTCGGCCATTCTTTCCAGCCATGATCAGAATAATAGTTCCGTATCGGTGTACTCGAGGATTGTCTGAACAATGAAAGATCGCGAGGATCAGAGTGCCCTCGGAATGCAACTCTAGCCTGTAAACAAGAGTTTGCGAAGCTTCGAATCATTCGTGATCGAGGAAGTATATCGTAAACTATAATACACTAGACGCATATACCTAAAGGGTAACTCAATTGTCAAATCTAACTTTCAATATTGAGTCGTGCTATGAGATCAGGCTTAGGTAGATATGCGTACATTTCGCATTACGATTCACTTCCGTCACGCGTTATTCAGACTCAGAAGAGCAGTGTTTTCAGACCTGCATGGATCTACAAGAAGATGTCATAGGGTACTTACTGTACCGTCCATCACTTTCGGGTAGCTAGATCATCATGACTAAAATCAAGCATGATTTTAGTGAGGAAGGCTCCGCAGCTTTGTAGAAAATCGTGCTGTAGCGGGAGAGCGGTAGTTAGTCTATCGACCCATTGTGTCTGGTTTCTATAATTCCATTTTGATGAAAAAAAGTCGCGCCAGCAAGCCCAATCTCTGGTAAAGTAGAGTCGTAGTAGTATGATTCATTTCCAGGTCCCATCCCGCTGGGACACCTGACAACCGTCTTTCGTTGCATGAAGCCATCGGTTGATATGTAACCTGACTCGAATAGCAAGGAAGGGCACTCCACATAAATCGATGGTATTGTGATCTTTGACCTACCTTCTCCCAATAGTGAAGCTTGTCAAGGTCAACATTGAATGAACGAGGGTATTAGGAATATAACACCCGCGAGCCGTGAGTGGGTCAGTGTAGATTCGAGATTGAAAATCATTTGAATTGAACCCAAAGATTGGCCAGCCCGATAGCCTCGCCAGCGAGCGGCCAAGCTAGGGTTTGGGGCTCTAGGAATGAATCCCCGCTGACTAGCCCGTCTGGCGTGATATAGCAATACGCTCCATATCATTGGCATTACCCACGGGAACAAGCGAAGGAACTTTCAGATGACACCGGTAAATAAAAATCATAAATGGGATGGACAGAAAAATCGGGACAAAACTTAGATTTCGTATGAAGTAAGGACTCGGCCTCGAATTGGACTGGGACTGGGACTGGGACTGGGGATTGGTCTTGAACTGGGACTGATGGTTGTTCAAGATTGACAGGTTTATGTCGTTCCTGCTTTTTGATGCAAGAATAAGTAAGTAAAGTCAATCAGCAAGTAAGTGTGTATTCATACATGCATATGCAACATTTGTTGAGGTCGAGGTCTCTGCAACCTTCTTTGCTTTCAATCTTTCATCATATTGTCAAGCATTCTCTCTGTTCCTGCTTTGTTCCTGCATCGGTTCCTGCAGTAGCAATCAGCAAATTTGGAAATGGGGCGAGTGGACCACACGTAACGAAGCCATCCATTGCCCGATTGGTGAATTATAATTTTAATGGGTAAAGTGATGGATATATACGGAGTCCATAGAGAAGGTACCATGTTGACCGACCGATAAGAAAACGGATTGGATTGCAACGGAAAGCCGTCAGAATGGATCATCCACTCAGCATCCCTACCTTCTTTCCTTCCCCTTCCTTTCCTAACTTTCCTTTCACCGCGACCATGACCGTGAACTTGCCGGGTCGAGGACTAGGACAGGGCTCCCTAGTAAGGTTCATATCGCAACTTCTTCTGGAAGTTCACCGAAGAGGGTATGGTTTGGCTTTACGATGCAGAGAAATGATTCTATGGATTCGATTCTACGGATTCGACCTAGGTACGGTACGGTATGGCACGGTATGGCACGGTATGGCACGGTATGGCACGGTATGGCAAGGTATCGATGGTATCGATGGTATGATGGTATGGCTCTGTGGTATAAAATCCATGTCAGCCAATTCATTACGGACTCGGTACAAAGTAATAATGAAATGCTACCCCATTATGCAGGCCTCGGTCAAATCAGTCGACTCCACCACATTCAAGTTATACTTTGTTGCACTAGCCTCTTTACCCTTGCTGTGCCTGGTGGTTGATTATGTTTGACACAAAGCAGCAAGGGAATCCAAACCAAACAAGAAAATCATTCTCTCTCCGCTCCCCCGGAAGCGTCCAATAATATGAGAAAGGTTCTCTCTATGTTTAGATCGGCTACACACAAACTTGCATTAGAATATCACTGCAGAGTGCCACTTTTATGCAACATGCAACATGCCAGGAGGAAGTAGTGATGTGATGATGATTGTCGCGCAACCACCACTAATGAAATCCTATGCACCTTCTGCACATCGTTATTCGCTCTCTTTGGAAAATGCTATTCAAGAACCAAAAGAAGCAGCCAGCACAAGACCTAAATGTTTGGTTCGTGTAATGAACTAGAAGCAACAGAGTCCATACCACACGAGCTGGATTTTACCATATTGGATGTGATAGGGTAGGCATCCCACCAAGTATACCTCAGCATCCCACATTGAAGCCTCGAAGCTCGTGTGTCGCCTTATTGTGATGTTAGGAATCATCATTGACAGGCTGTGGGAATTGGGCGAAACGCTGTGCATTATTGGAAAAGTATATGCATTCCATTTTATGCAACCATCTCAGTTCTTTCTCGGCGCTAGGTGGACGGGACTTCATCCTATCGTAATGGTTATCACCTTATCGATTAGACGGAGAAGAGTGGGCGTGAAGGAGCTCCCGGTCATATGAGGTCAGATTTTACACATGAAGATTCTTCAGATGATGATGTGTTGCCATGTTTGGAGGGATTCAGTCTCTTAGTGGTCAAAAGGACGTGTATAGGATCAAGGTTCAACCCGATGGAAATGATAGCCCAATACGCGGCCTAACCGTTCGGGTGATAGTACATGATAAACTTTAGATCATCTCAAACGCCGGCGTCTAAGGATCAAGGGCTCCGTCTCAACCATCTATTTGACTTTTCTCAGGCGTGTTCACATGAAAGACAGTGTTTCAATTGCCAGTTCCAGACTGCGGCTATAAACTTTCTTTTGGTGGGACGTTGGTGGTACAAAACTTGCTTGCAAAGTGTATCAGTACCACTGAGTGAGTGAGTAATAAGCCGCAACTCTAAAAATCTCTGAATAATGACTTGTCAGCGTGAGAAACTGACGAAGACGCATCTAATCAACTGTCTCTCGGAAGGCGGGGAGACTATCTGATCTTATCCTGTTCATCGAAAGTCAAGAGAAGGAGATCGTTGTTTCATCTTTTCATGATGGCGTCTTTCTTCTCCCCCACAAATCAACCTTTGGAGTAGACGCGGGGCAAAGCGCTCTCAGAGTAAGCTGAAGGAGGAGGGCTGAATCTAAGTCTAAGGATCATTTCTCTATCGATAGGAAAAGGCTTTTTTTCTTTTCTTCTCATCTTGGGGGCGAAGGAAGGAAGGAAGGATGGATGCATATTGGATGCAGACGATGTCATCTAAGGTTACCTCCGGCGAATTAGGAGCTGTAAGCTGTGAATTGCTTACAACGTAGGTAGCTGTAGAAGAGAGAGAAAGGTCCATAACAAGGTGTGATAGGTTGAAACCCACGACGCCGAAATTAGCAGAGAGAATTGCTCATGTAGTCGATGAACCGGAGACGTTAGCCAAATCGAGGTACCTAGAGTTCGTACCACAACGACAAAAGTAAAGCTGTTGGGTAGCGTTGTTGGATCATTTTGCATTATCGCCTTCACCATGCACGAATCACAGCTTAGATTCACGTAGATATCCCAAAACGGTCTTTTGATGCATATCTGAGGGTGTGCTTCACGATATGAATGGCCCAGCAATGTGTTGCGTGTTTCGCGTCTCGCTTTAAACTTTTTCATGTGTTCGTTCCTTTGCCTTCTGAAGTTTTGGATCATCCAAATAAAAACAAGTTAAAACAACATCACCACTGAATGCTTGGGTTGGTTCAATGTTGTTGAAGACAAGATCCCAAAGTTTATTAGGCCAGAATATGTTTCCCTTTGGATTCAGATATTTGGGCACTTGGATGTGATTCGCATCGCCAGTCGGAGAGGCCGTACGAGATGAGGGGCTTGTTTTCTTCTGATCACTCCAACTGTAGGATTCTATTGGCATTGATGATTTGCACGGGAGTATTGTGAAGAAGACTTTTCTCCAATGCGGCGACAGGGCTGAGGTGAGGTGGGCTGTGTATGGTTAGTTATTATAGATTGATGTCAGTGTCATCAATGAATGATATATACAGTGGACCATGAGGCAAACTTCATCAAGATTCCCACCTGGTAGGCAGTAGGCATGAGTAGTCGAAAGTAAAATATTATCTAAACTGTCTAAACTTGTCTATTATGCTAAGAATATAGTTTTCAGCAAGAAATCTGTATGGCTGAGTCTTGGATGGATAGAATTAGAAATGTCTATTGAATTGATTTGGATCTTGACGTGGGCTGTTATTGAATAGACAATAATTATTTATTATTAGTTTTCCATGGCATCCCGAATGAATAATGTGTCGGTCGTAATCTCCGTCCACCACGATTATCATAGGTTGAGATCCACCATGGGCTATTTGGCACGAAAGAATGAATGAATGAATTGAAATCATGACATCTGTTTGATTTGTATTGTTGTTGTACTTTTTCTCTTATTTTAGAAAACGTTGATAGGTACAGTGGTTGGACAGCATAGAGCATACATAGCTGAAGTTTATGTTAGTTGGCATTAGCAGATGCAGATGCAGATGCAGTGAAAGTCAAAGTAGGTACTAGCTATCTATCTAAACTTTGAATTTCGCCCTTCAAACTTCAGACTTCAAACTTCAGACTTCAAACTTCAAACTTCAAACTTCAAACTTCAAACTTCAAACTTCTACATGAGTTCCATTAGCTAGATAGGTGGGTAGGTATATGTTGTTATTCTTGTTGTTGCATACCTAGGTACTTGAACGTTATTGTACGACCTCAGAAATAACGCACATCGCAGCTACCTCATAATCTGAAGGAAACAGTGACGCAGTATTCGCAAACAAGATCCTCATAGCTTGTAACCTGTAACCTGTAACCTGTAACCAACTGGTGACTGGCTTGTAACTCGTATCTCGCTCGTCCTTGTCAAGGACTCCAGGTCCATGCTCTCAAAGAAGCCACCAACCTAGCGGTTTCTCATAGTGTGCTGTGTCGTATATATTCATTCGTATGGATAATACATAATACATAATGCTATGATTATGATTATGATTATGATTATGATACCTTACAAGTTACCACGCTCCCACTCTACTTTAGTCTATCATTCGGGCTTATGCATGCGGTCGTGCGCTTCTTCACCTCCTCGCCGCTTTTGAATGGTTGGAAAAAAGTATACCGAGTGGCTAGCGAGGGAGAGAGAAAAGGAAAATGGGATAAAATAAATAATCATCATAATCACAATCATAATCATATCATAATAAAATCGTATAATGAAAAATAAAAGAGTGGCTTGATGTTCATTTGCATGCTCAAGTCAAATAACTAATGATCATTGGTCACTGACCTACAACGTATTAGACCGTCCCTTCTCTTCCCTTGAGCCATTCATGACCGCTTCTTCCTCCATGCCCTTTCAACACCCAGGACAAATCAACTGTCCATACAAGGACCCTAGTATTGCGTGGATGTGTAGACTTATTAGACTATTCTATTCCATGTTCAGTAATATATCTCCTCGACTCTCTCCACTTTCTCTCATACCTGGCATAGTACAGTACCACCCGAGCCACCAGAATGAATCCACTATGGCCACTAATCTACTAGAATCCGTGTATTTCAAGGTTAGTCCAGAAAATCAAAAAAGTTCCCGGAGAATCATCACTTTCTTAAAGAGCAATAGCGTCGAACACGAAAATGCTAGGATTCCGAATCCACAACCGTACTAGATTTAGAAATTTCCATGCTACTCCATCAATCTATTCGTCCATCCCATCTCAATCGCTGCCGGTTCCCCCAGACAGGGTCCTGGACGCCGACTCACCACATCCACACCTATCTCACCCACTCATTGCTTTCTTGTTCCTGGCCCACCCGTTTCCCATGCCTTCGCCTGAGACTTGGCCTTTCGGTCGCACTGCCTATCTTACCCTCTATCACTCTCGTTGATCTTTCGAGATCTTTACTTTTATTTGCAGGGTCCCCGTCACCACCTTCGTTTGTTCATCTTGTCTAGGTTTCCCTCATCGCTACCATATTCTTCTTATACCGACTAACGGTTTCCTTTTTGTAACTCAATCTTTTGGAACATCTTCGACTTGCGCTTTTTTATATCATAAGCCTCCTCGAACTTCTTCTGTACCTTCCTTTGGCATTCTGCTATTGCTCTTGTTCTGTTATCTCGCACTTCGATAATCTACTATATTGCACTGAACCATTGTGTCGACCTCAATCAATCCTTCCACTTGACGAGCCTATGTATAATCAGTTACTCCAACATTGCCATTATTAGACAGATTTCCCTGCAGCTGTTGTCCGCCCCTCATTCATTACTTGCGAAGCCTTGTATTACTTGATTTAGCATCGACATCTTGACCAACGTGGTCTGCCAACAAAGTACCCTAATCTACCAACCCATCCTAACTAGAACTCAAATCGGTACGTTGTGCTTGGATACAGGGTCCGAGGAATGCAAACTGACGTCTTGCAGACCAGCCGAGAAACCAAGGGATACTCACTATGGACTCTTACGCACAAGCAATGGGACAATCCCCATTTTTCTACTACAACCCAGACCCAAAATCAGACAACCGTCAACATGGTCACTTCTCTCAACAACCAAGCCATATGCCTATGCCTATGTACCATCAACACGCTCAAACCCTCCCATCGACACCAATGTACTCCAGACCAAACTCTTCGTCTTCGCAGCCTCCCATGCAGCAGAAGATCTTCAACTCTGGATACCTTGGACACATGACACCAATGTCCTCTCCACGCCCAATGTATCAAAAGCCCACCATATTGATTCAAGATCATTCCCCAAGACTGATCTTAGATTCGGAAAACGAACACGACATGTACTATTACCCAGCAACCCCACCACTTTCAGCATCCTGCAGTGTCATGAGCAGTCCGTCGAGCTGTGACATTCTACCCACCCCAGTTAACAGTGTATTTTTTGGTGCTGAGAGTTTCGAGGGTGTTAAGGAAGGATGTGAAGGTGAGGTTCAATCGGAGAACCTTGCCGGTGAATGGGCTCGTTGCGGGTCTCCACCTATGACACCAGGTATGCTATTTCTCTATTCAAGATCTTTTAATCCTCACCATCTTTGGAATGGTTTGAGAATGGATAACGACATTGAATTGCGATTATTCATTTGACAGTTCGCATAAAAATTGTTAACGTTAATGTTTTCAACATTTTGATGCAACAATAATAATTATTGAAATAATTCACTGACGAGGCTACCAATTTTCAGTGTTCATCCATCCAAATTCGCTTAGCTCGCACGCTAATGAACTCCTGTCTGCCACTTCTTGCCCTTCGCTTTCACCTTCTCCTTCCCCTTATCCTCGCTCCGTCACCTCTGAACAATCCGACTTCGACTTTTGCGATCCAAGAAATCTCACAGTTGGTTCCTCAATTTTACCTCCCACTTCAAATCCCATTTTGACTTCGGGTCGTGAATTTTCCACTTTACCAATCCTCTGTGCAGCTGAAGAGGAAGAACATCAATACATGTTAGGGGGTAGTGACGCATTCGCCAAAATCGAAACACGTGCGAATACCTTTGATTTCACCACAACCACAACATCCAACCACGGTCTTCCCACGTTTGATCACATTTCCGAGCTCGATTCTGAAGACGAATTTGTTAACGGTCTTGTGAATTTCCCTTCTACCGATAACGTTCAATTCTTCGGTAACAAGAGACAACGCACTGTATCTGATCTCGTTTCCCCTGAATCAGAGACATTCATCAGTGAGGACGATTTCGAAGATTTTGAGGATCTTGAGACCGAAAGATTTGCAGTTGCCTGTCTTCCAAGCCCACCTGCTTCAGGCTCTGAAGCTGAACCCAAAAGGGAAAAACGTAGCAAAAAGTCAAAGATCGTTCATTGCGACGAAGATAGCTCGGCATTTGATTCTATGGTTCGATCCCGAAAATTCACTGTTCCAATGAATAACTTATCGGGCGCTCAGCCACAAGAGACTTCTGCCGACCACCAACAAACATCCACCGCACCAAGTCAATCCGGTTCTTCAGAAAGCAACAACATGATGGGTTCATCAGGATCAGACGCTGCCAACACTCATCAAGCACCAGTCAACCGTCGCGGTCGCAAGCAATCCTTGACTGAGGACCCTTCCAAAACATTCCACTGCAAGCTTTGCAACAGACGTTTCCGCAGACAAGAACATTTGAAGCGCCATTACAGATCCCTCCACACTCAAGAAAAGCCATTCGAGTGCCACGAGTGCGGTAAGAAGTTCTCCCGCAGCGACAACTTATCTCAACACTCTCGCACTCACGGCAGTGGTGCTATTGTCATGGGCGTCTTGGAAGATGGCGAGGTTCCTGGCGACATGGAATCTGGCAGCGACGGAGAGCAAATCAGAGCCCTTGGCACCGCACTCTTTAACGCCGCCGCAGGTGCATCTGGCAGTGAAAGCAGCGGTACCGATAGTGAGTCCGATAGCCAATCCCGCAAGAAGCGCAAGAGATCCGAGTAAAAATTTGGTGTACGAATGCTTGATTGGCCGGAGTACGCCGTTTACGAAACTTACGAACACAAAAATTAAACAACACTTCATATTTGGGCTTGCGCATTGCTTGTTATGTGTTGAACATCAGGGACAAAGGTTACATTGACGCTGTCATGATGATTTGGGAGGATTGCTTGAAACACAAAAGTCACTGTCCCCTGTGTGTGTTGCTATTTTGCACACTTTTTTCACCATTCTTGTACTTTACTTTACTTTATTCAACTTTGTATTTGTCGTCGGTTTAGCGTGATGATGGATGGTCTAAGGTACAACAACCTTTCAAAGCGTGTACTTTGATGATGGGAAGCAAGGGAAATTACTTTTCTTACATTCGTTGTAATAAATATCAGTGGAGCTGTGGATGGAAAGCGGGCGACCGTCTCTGATCTTTTGCTTTGCAATTTTCTCTTCAGAATTACTTGCGTAGCTCTTGGGTCTTGCCTTGTGCTGGCCAGAATGTTGAGATATACCAACAGACTACAAATACAATAAAATAAATACATGTCATAAACATAAAACTCTTCTCGCATCATGCAATTGTGACTCAAAGTGACCCAAGTGACTTCAATGATTGTGATAGTCTACTCTGCAGCAGAGTGGTGTCTAGAATGCCTGAGGCATGTACCCTTCAAACCTCCAGACCTAATGTTTTGAGTGTCCGAATTGATATGAAGATTAGATGAGTTTGATGTTTGAATCGTTTTGATTGCACGCATTGAGTACCAAAATTTCGAATTTCGTGTATGAAACAATGATACGGACAAAAAGTCGAGTGCGTCCCAATATAAATCCTCACAACGCCTAAATTTTCATTTTGCCCACGTTCTCGAGCAAAATCTGAAATCCCACACTGTCGACCTAAAACAGACAGGGTCATGTCCGAATCTCTTAACGTGATCGCCTTGGTCTCAGGTGGAAAAGACAGTTTCTTCTCAATATTACATTGTATTCAGAATGGACATAAAATCGTCGCTCTAGGAAATCTTCATCCACCTCTCACCGAGCCACAAACGGAAGAACGCGATGGTATGCACAAGGATGAAAATGATCTCAATAGTTTCATGTATCAGACTGTAGGACATACCATTATACCATTGTATGAAGCGGCTCTTGGTATTCCATTATACCGACAAGCTATTGTTGGCAGTGCTGTTCAAACGGGGTCGAGCTATGATGATGCGGCTCTCACGAGTTCTGGTGCTGAAGAATTGGGGGAAAAGAGACATATGGATGGAGATGAGACGGAATCTCTGGTTCCTTTGTTACAGAGACTTAAAGATGCGCATCCTGAAGCAAATGCCCTGAGCACAGGCGCAATACTATCTACATATCAACGGACGCGCGTGGAATCTGTGGCAATACGCTTGGGACTCGTGCCTCTTTCGTTCTTGTGGCAGTATCCGATTCTTCCGCCTGGGGTGCAGATTTCTCTTCTGCAGGATATGCAAGCGGTAGGATTGGATGCGAGGATTATCAAGGTGGCGAGTGGTGGACTCGATGAGAGTTTTTTGTGGGAAAATGTTGCGAGTGAGAAGGGGATGCGGAGAGTGGAAAGAGCGATGAAAAGATTCAGTATTGATGGTGATGGAGCTGTGTTAGGTGAGGGCGGAGAGTTTGAGACTCTGGTTGTGGATGGACCGAGTTGGTTGTTCAAAAAGAGAATAGTAGTGGAGACAGAAGACACGAGAATCGTGAGGGAAGGTGGAGGATCTGCTTGGATACAGATAAGTAAGGCTTCTTTGGCGGATAAAGAGAGCCTTGAGAACAAGGAAATATCTTGTCGAGTACCAGAACTGCTTGATCAGAGATCTTCGGAAATTTTATCTGCGTTGGACAAAAATGATCATTCCAACGACCTTTCCACATCAAGCACATCGGGTAGCGGATCATTGGCGTCGCCAACGTGGGAGCTCACATCGTCTAGTGCTAATGGCATTGAAGGCGGCAACATGCTACACTGGACGATTGTACCAGATACTGCCTCTTGTTCATCGATATTAGACGAAGCCGAAAGTGTTGTGGAAACCATAAAAGCGCGACTCAATCAATCATCATTGAGAACCACCGACATCGTTTCGACCATGATTATGCTACGCTCAATGGAAGATTTCACATCAATCAACAAGGTATTTCCAAACACAGCTTGATGCCTCACCAACATACCTATCTAACACATCTATAGATCTACGGCACGCTCTTCCCTCATCCCAATCCACCATCTCGCGTAACCATCTCCTGCGGATCCTCAATGCCCCTAAACATATCTCTAATAATCCACCTCACACTGCATATTCCCTCAGCTAACTCATCGCCCCGCAAAGCTCTACACGTACAATCGCGTTCCTACTGGGCCCCCGCCAACATCGGACCATACTCTCAAGCCAGTTCACTTCCCTCCTCACTCTCCTCCTCTCAAACCCTCACCATCGCCGGACAAATCCCTCTCATTCCCCACACCATGCTTCTCCCCACCTCATCACTCTCACTCTCACCCCCCTTCCACCTCTCCACCATCCTCTCCCTCCAACATCTCCTCCGCATCGCAGACGCCACCTCCATCAAATGGTTTACCAGCGCCTGCATCTACATTCCCCCCTCTCCCCCCTCCTCCTCCTCCTCCTCCCAACCCCTCCTCTCAAAACTCGCCTACCTCGCCTGGAAACACATCCACGCCCTCCCATCCTCATCCCCCTCCTCCGACTCCGACTCCGACTCCGACTCCGAACCGCGCGATCTCTGGGAAGAAAAATTCCGCTACTCCCACACCGCCCCCCTCGCAACCGACCACGCCACAACCACCTATCCCGACCACAATATCCTGCACTCGGATACCCCTACAATCCCACCTTTCTGGACCGCGGAGGTGGATTCTCTGCCCCGTGAAAGCGAGGTAGAATGGCATGCGCATGTGGGGATTTGTGCTGGTCCTGTTGATGTTTGTTTTCTTTTCTTTCTTTCTTTCTTTCTTCCTTCTCTATTTTTTTTGGTGCTTGCTCGCGGAAAAAAAACAACAACACAATAACTAACAATATCCACAATAGATCAATAATAGAGATACGCACGAGCACCGCGGCACTTCGCTCACGACTCCTTCTACGCGTCATACTGTTCTTACTTTCCCTCACGATGTTATTCCTTCATCTGATGATCTTAAAGATGACGATGGTAATCGCGGATTGATCCATTTGGTTTATGTGGATACGTCGCTTGTCGATGTGAATAAACTTTCGAGTGCAGGATGGGAAGGTAAAGGGGTGATACCTTGCAAAAGTTTATGGGATGGTGAGGGGAGAAGGTTGAGTACTGTAATCGTTTTCTGGGGAGATGCAAAGTAGAGATGGAAAAAAGAGGACTTGTGACATTGAATAGATTTTCAATTGGGATATCTAATGACTATCTGATATGCTATGATATAATTGGTGATGCTGAACGAAATCTCGATATTAAGATACTTCCGAAATTGTCATTGTCCCCATTCTTCGCTGAACTACCAACCTCCACCACCTCCTTTCCCGCCAAAGCCACCCTCCTCAATCTTCTTCATACCCTGTCCCCTTTGACTCTTCTGCTGCGCCGCCTCGTGTTTCCTCAACTCTTCCGGCACCCTACTAATGCTGCTCTTTGTCAACATCTGCTTCAAATCATACATCGTATCGCTATCCTCATTGCCCAAGAATGTAATCGCCACACCACTCTTCCCTGCTCTTCCCGTTCTACCAATACGATGGGTATAACTCTCAATATTCGTCGCCATGTTGAAGTTCACCACCAACGATACATCCGGCACATCAATACCACGACCCGCCAAATCAGTCGCAACGAGTACATTAGTAGCGCCAGAACGCACAGATGCCAGGGCTGCTTCACGCTGCTCTTGAGTTTTGGAACCGTGGAGTGTAACAGATGTGAAGCCCATATGTTTGATATCACGAGCCACAGCATCGCAATTACGCTTAATGTTAACGAAGACGATGATAGGAGGTGCGAATTCACCCGAGGCAAGAATTTCATTGAGACGCTTCTTGCGTTTATCCTCACCGGAAACAAATTCGACGCGCTGTTCGACGGTCTCGACGGCCTCTCCAATATTACCGATGGTGACAATTGCAGGACGACGAAGATATTTTTTGGCGATTTTTTCGACTGCTGGAGGCATAGTGGCTGTGTACATCATAGTTTGACGATAACGGTCCTTGCCTCCCAGATGCCTACTCATCGCTTGTGCATCTTCTGCATCATCTGTATCTGGCTTTTCGTTACTGACTGGAAGGGCATCCAGAATTTTGTTCACAGATTCTTCAAATCCAAGATCAATCATACGATCTGCTTCGTCCATAATGATATAACAGCATTGCCCAAGGACAAGAACTCTTCGTTCAATACAATCAACTAGACGACCGGGCGTCGCAATGACGATTTCAGCACCGTTACGAAGGTTGTAAGATTGTTCTTCCAAAGAATGACCACCAACGATACTAACACAGGTGAATCCAAGGGGCGTTGCAAACTTCTTGGCTTCAGCTTCAATTTGTTGTGCCAATTCACGGGTAGGCGCGAGAATAATAGCGTACGGTCCATCGTTCTTCGTAAATTCGTTCAGTGGAGGCAGTTCGGAAATGTAGACCAGTAATGGCAGCAAGAAAGCCGCAGTTTTACCCGAACCAGTGACGGCAACACCAATCAAATCTCTTGCTTGTAATGCTATTGGGATAGCAGCTCTTTGTACCGCTGAGGGCTCGTCATAGCCAACTTGATGGATAACATCCAGAAGACGTTTTGGTAACTTAGATTCTGACCAATTCCGCATGGGATTTGGAATCGCTCCTCCTTTTGTACTGATATTGAAATCTTCCTTGAAGATACGCCAATCTCGTTCTCGCATGTGTTCCAATTTCTTCTCGCTCCAATGTTTGTCAAGTGAGTTCCTGCCAGCCTCTTCTTTCCTCCGCCTTTCCATTTCGACAATCTCTCTTGCACGCGCGCTTCCAGCCTCCGTATCCCGTTCTTCCAAAGCCTTCGCATATTTCAGAGTTGCTCCTTCATCTTCAGCAAAACCAGCCAATCTACCTCGACCATATAGACCTGCTTCCGCGCGGTTTTGGTAAATAGGGTTATAATCTGGGCTAGTATCCTCCTCGGCATTCCACTCAAAGTTAAACTTCTTCTCTGTCGTCCTTCTACGTTTCTTCTTTGCGGAAAATGTTGATTGATTTGTTTCGGCGCCCATGTATCGCGTCCTTATCAGTGCAGCTTGGAGATCTTCCGCGTTCGCAGGTCGTTTCTCGCCAGCTACCGAAGCTTTACCCGTAACTGCAGCCGCCGTTTTGGCTGGTTTTGGCGGTGGCTCCATATCGTTCGGCTTATCACTAGAAGATCGACTTTGCTGACTATTCCGCATAGCTCGAGGCCCAGTGGGCACAAAAGAAGAATCTCGACGCCCGTTTTCCTGCTGATATGATCGTTCATAACCATCTCGACCATTCATAGCAGATCCATATCCGTTTCCATTTCCATTGACACCTCCTACAGATGTCCGGTTATCCTGTTCCGCCTCACGTTTACGCTTCTGTTCTTCGACCTCTTTTGCTCTTTTCTCAAGAGCCAGTTTCTCTCGAGCAGCTTTTGACAGAAATTTAGGCTGTGATTTTCATATAATCAGTATTGGTCCCAGGAAATACTAGACATGCATTGTGAACATGGCTGCCAGCTTCGTATGACAAGGGGGGTGAGAGCACATACCTTAGCTGCAGCCTCATCTGCCTCTTTCTTCTTCTTCAAAATATCTTCGATGCTCAAAGGACCTGGTTTTGGAGCTCCCCAGCCTTTCTTCTTCTTGGGTTCTGGGGGAGGAGGCAGTAACTCGGAGGGAGGAGGTGGTGGAAGATCGCTGGAAGGAGGAGGAGGAGGAGCTAATGAGCTTGGGGGTGGCGGAGGAACGAATGAATCTGGAGGTGGAGGTGGAGGGGATGGTGGTCTTCCATCGCTATCGCTCGGGGGCGGCGGTACTACGTCAGTGCTATTTGAGTATCCATTTGAAGCCATGATCGAAAATATGAGAGGCGGAGTAGGTGTCTCCAAATTAGATAAAAGATTTCTAGAGCTGTACAAACTTCCGAGGATTCAAATCTGCGAAAGAATTGGCGCAATATAAAATAACTTTTAAACATTGAACATTGAAGACAAGGCTGAAGAGTCGAGGCAACCAAAAGGCTCCAGCTTACATAATCACCAATTTCATGAATTTTATTTCGACATCAACAACATCTCGAAATCTCAGCCTTTTGCGACAATCAAGATGCTGAAGCCCGTTCAATATGTGAAGCTTGCGCAATCGCTGCCACCGCAGCTGCAGAGATTTTTCGCCCGTTATCCACCTCAAGCCATTCTCCCGCAGGCCAACGCTGTCAACACAACTTCAGATGCGGCGACATCAGAGGCTGTTAGCAAGGCTACCTTGAAGACCGAGGAAACTTTGGATCAACCTACACACCCAGCAATTACAGAGGCAACATCGCCGTTCAGGCCTCATAAGCACCCGGTTACTGGGAAATGGCATGATCCAGTGTTTTCTCTCAGACGACAGGCAGATTTGTGCAAACTTGCAAGGCAACATGGAGTAGAGGAACTTTTACCAATCTCTGTGAAGAGTACGGAGGAGAAATTACGCAAGAGGATGGAGAATGGACTGAGGGTAAAGGGTACTGGTGTTGGACAGAGAGTCAAGGGAAAGGAATCCGAGAGAACATTGAAGTCGAGGTATGTTTTGATATCGCATTTTATGAATTGGTTGAGGCTTTGGTCTTGCATTCTTTGATACATTTACTAATTCACGGCGTGCAACAGATTGGAGAAGAGAAGAAAGGCTATGTTGGAGATGCCACAGATGATACAGACATGGAAAGAGGTTTGTCTTCCTTTATTGAACCAAATTCACGTGCGGCTACTAATAAATATCGCAGAGAGGTCATGGTCGTGGATGGAAGAAGTGGCCAAAATAGATATGATAATGAAGATTATTTGGCGCGATGTCAGCCTCGTAGGAAGACTACTTGTTGTACAAACATCGCATTGGGAATGACTGCATGGGAATGGGCGTTTCAAAATATTGTAGAATTGTGCAATTATATGCCCCCTCTTTCGCAAATTGAAAAAGCACCTTTGGTGAATCTTGGGTGAGATTCAGGAATTGTATACCTACTTATTACTCGAGTAGTTCATGTGTTGAAGACTTGTGTGAATTGAGGATCTTGAGATTTACTTCGAGATGTATCTCTTGAACCGCACTTGATAATTTAGCACGTGCAATTTAATCGAATCGATTTCCAAGAATCCTACACCATACTGCCTATCGAGCGAATGTAGCCGTCCTGTTGAAAACTCTAAGCTTTGATACAAGCTGTAAACGCCAGCTTGAAGCCAACTCCATGCGTGATAGCGTTAGTGAAACACGTATGGAATGGTTCTTTCTTAAATCATTTGCCATCCAACGTTTTGATAGCATGTAAACTCCACAATGCCAGACCCAAAAATTGATGAGTGGCAAAAAAAGATTCGCGGTGATGTGGATATCTCTCAAGATGAATGATAGCCGAAATTCTAACTCAGGGGGCTTGTCTAACCAGCCAAAGATATGGATTTTGTTTCGAGAGATTCCAAATGGCTCCTTTGAGTCTGTAACCGCAGATCAGGCACGGGAGGGATTTTGCACATTTGCACATTTGCACATGCTTCTATCAGCTCCCCTCGTCTACTTTCTCGTAGAGTATTGCGACAGAAGATGACCGAGGCTTGGGTAAATTGGTGAGTGATGGCACAATTGGATGCATCCAAGTCCGGGGAGGTTTAGGTGGTTTACTAAGGAAGGAAACAAGACTTTCGGGATATGGTATGATGGTATGATTGGTATGGCATGGTGTATGGCACGGTATGGCGTGGGATGGATAATTCGATCTCTTCGACCCCCTCGACCCCCTCGACCCTTGTAGCGATCATTCGTTTTTAAGCCCCAACAAAAAAAAATAGAATCCATGGGGCCTCAAAATTGTTGGGGAAATCTTTTCGGGTAAGTTGACGGATTGGGTTTAGTCTCGAGCCCTTTTCTGCACGCTTGAGAATGCTAAGAATGCTAGGGATGCCATGCATGATAATACAAGGGGAACTCTGTATGATGATGATGTGATTGGTCAATGGTAACATCAAAACAGCCTTTCCATTTGTATATTGTACGAAGGCCATATATTCATAATATTCATTCTTTTGCCCGTTCCATATTATCAGTAGTTATCAAGTGAAATTGAAGCTGGCTGACCACCTCCCCTTGTTCTGGAGCTCATTCCTAGAAAGGTTTGGTAGGCAGATGGCACTTTTTGTGCATATTAGAAGCACGCTGAAATCGACACATAACAGATAGACCTCTGGTATCTAGATATACACACGGGTGCACATGGATTTATCTGGGCTTTTCTGACACAAGCTGAATGAATGTTTGTGCCTACCTCCACTCCATCCACCTTGGAAGCCTTCTACGCTGAGCTGGTTGAGCCACTGTGCCACTTTCCAAGGTTCCAACTGCCATTGATTGTGCATTCTCCAAAAGGACTCTAGCGGTGAGTGAGGAAATACCTAACCTTAGACAAACAACTCATCGTGTTCGTGTCCCCACAGAATGAATTCTCTCTGTCTCTGTCTCTTCGAGCAACCTTCATATCCTAGAGGCTAGAGCACTTTGAAACGGTCTACGTCTACCTGTCAAGGGTTCTCCACGACGGAACCGAGAGATGGGTGGCGTGAGCTCCAAGTCAATCGGAATGTCCGTGATCGAAGAAGGACTCTGAAGGAGGGACAAGATGAGGGGCGGGGAACTTGGAAGGAGGAAGAAAAGTTGGGCATGATTACCATGTATTATCTATCATCTTATTGAGCAATCTGCAATCTTTGATTATCATCTCTGTAGTCAACTCGTTGTCTTCGGCATTCGCTTTGATACACCTGAACAACAAACTGGTGCCAAACTCGGACATCTATCATTCTCCACTGAAATTCAACAACAAAAGAAGGGTTCTGCAAATTGAGAGAGATTACAATAATAAATCCCACCATATGATAGCCCAAATATCATGATAAGATCTTCAGACCCCCTTTCCCATGTCTTGACGAGTTGTTCTAGTGGGTGAGTGGGTGGGTGCGTGGTGGCAATCAAATCATGATAATTGATCTTTTGCTATGACTGCTCCATGCCTACGATGTAGAGAGATATTGTATATACTTTGTGTGAATCTAGTTTTAAGTATATATTACACTTTATTAGACTCCTCCTACTCCTCCTACTGCTCCTACTGCTCCTACTGCTCCTACTGCTCCTACTGCTCCTAAATATTTTCTAGTGACTTACTCTAGATCAGCCCAATTTATATGCTGGTCCCTTCTTGGCTCTTTCCCGTACCTTTGGTCACAATCTGTAATTCTTTTGCAGTCAGTCAATTAAATAAGAGTTAATAAGAAGGCGCTACGGGGAAATACTTCATCGTCTTTTTCTCTCTTCTTCTTCTTCTTCTTCTTTAAACTTTTAGGGCCAAGCGACTTGTTGAACATCCCTTCAATTCCTCACTAGGTATCTACTTACTCCACCACTCTCTCCACTCACCACTCACCACTCACCACTCACTTAATTCATCCCTCCATTCCTTTTCTTACACCACACCCCCTCTTCCCTCTTATAAGTCCAACCTCCTTCCTTCAATTCGACCTCTCTTCAACCTCTTTACAAAACTTAATACACATCTTGACGAGTGTGTACAAAAGTTTGTAAGTATATTCCTATATCATGTTACTCAATGAGAAAGCGTTCGGAAACTAACAAAGTACTCCTAGAATTTCTCGTTGAGGCTCCTTTAATTTCATCCCACCAAACCTCAACAAATTTGGTCGATTCACTTCACACTGCTACAAGCTTGTCACTCACTACTGGCTCGACTATCAAAGTGATAATTTCCTACGAATTCTCATTCTTTTTCTCTCAATATTCGAGTATACAAAAATTACAACACAATGGCCTCCACCACTGCTCTACCAAAGCGCACTGTCGTTCAGAGAACGGCGACCTCTTCCACTGCCGAATCAGCTCCCTCGACAGCTGCAGGGTCACCCAGTGATACCCCAAGACAATCCCCCTCGTCCACTTCTCTGTCATCTATGTCATCTCTAGGCGACGATGTTAAGAACACCAAGCCATATGGCAAACTCATCGACACCTACGGGAACGAATTTGAGCTTCCAGATTATACCGTCAACGACATCCGTAATGCCATTCCAAAGCATTGTTACGAGCGATCTGGAGTAAGAGGTTTGGCTTATGTGGCTCGCGATATTGCCAGCTTAGCCACCACATTCTTCCTCTTCAACAAATATCTTACACCAGAAAATGTTCCCTCAACTCCAGTCCGCGCTGTGTTGTGGGCTTTGTATACCGTTGTTCAGGGCTTGTTTGGTACTGGTCTCTGGGTTCTCTCTCACGAGTGTGGTCATCAATCGTTCTCAACTTCAAAGGTCTTGAACGACACAACCGGGTGGATCTGTCATTCTGCTCTTCTCGTCCCATACTTCTCATGGAAGATCTCCCACGGCAAGCACCACAAAGCTACTGGCAACATGGAGCGCGATATGGTTTTCGTTCCAAAGACTCGTCAAGATTATGCTACCCGCGTCGGAAAGTTTGTCCATGAGCTTCACGAGCTCACCGAGGAAACTCCAATCGCAACTCTCATTCACTCAATCGGACAACAACTTGTGGGCTGGCCTTTGTACTTGTTCACGAACGTCACCGGTCACAACAACCATGAGCGTCAACCTGAAGGTCGTGGAAAGGGTAAAGTCAACAGCTTCTGGACCGTCAGTCACTTCAACCCTGCCAGTCCTCTGTATGAGGCTAAGGATGCCAAATTGATCTTGTTGAGTGATCTTGGTATCGCCATCACCGCCGCTGTCCTTATCATGCTTAGCAAGACATATGGATTTTACAACATGGCTATCTGGTACTTTATTCCATACCTCTGGGTAAACCACTGGCTTGTTGCTATCACCTTCCTCCAACACACCGACCCAACTCTTCCTCACTACTCTGGCGAGAGCTGGAACTATGTTCGTGGAGCCGCAGCCACCATCGACCGTGAATTCGGATTTATCGGCCGCACTCTTCTTCACGGTATCATCGAGACCCACGTTCTTCACCACTACGTCAGCACCATTCCTTTCTACCACGCCGATGAGGCTACCGAAGCTATCAAGCCTATCATGGGTCGTCACTACAGAGCCGATGTTCGAGGAGGATCCCTTGGATTCTTGAAGAGCTTGTGGTCTAGCGCTCGTTGGTGCCAATGGGTTGAGCCATCTGAGGGTGCTGAAGGTGAGGGCAAGGGGGTATTCTTCTTCCGTAACCGCAACGGACTCGGTACACCACCAATGAAGCTCAAGGCATAAATTGAGTATACGAAGTGCTCGTAAACTCAAACGTTGGTTGAAGGGATTAGCTCAAAAGTAACTGGGGGCCTGTAGTGATTTATCTGCCTGTGCGCTGTTTGTTGAATTTTTCGGGGGAAGGGGTGTTAGGAGGCGCAAAATAAATTTCACGCCATGAAATCATTTTGCACGTTCGCTCGCTGTAATACGTATCGATTGTTGTGGTAGGCAAAAACGAAGGTTTATTGCTTCTGCTTTCTGTACTTGGAGCTGCAAGATAGACAGAGTTAGAAGAGATTAGCTAGATTAAAAACCAAGAAATGAAAGATTCTGAATGAACAACCTTAACATCTCCTCTCTCTATTTGCTCCTGCCTAGTGAAAACGATGACAGTAAAGGATCGATTAGATGCACAATTACATTTTCAAATCTCCCATGGAGATGGATGTATTGTCAACCTTGAGGCTAATGTAAGAGTTGAGGCTCCGGCTTATTGTACACCACCCTTTTTCATGACAAAATCCCTGCAAAAATATTGTTTTTCTATATAAATTAATTATTTTTATAATTCTTTAATTATTTAAAAAATTGATTTGAAAATTGTATATATAAGAAATAATTATATAAAAATATTCGATTTAAATTGTTCTTTGAAATTATAAAAATTAATAAAGTTATAGATTTTTAAAGTTGAAATTTTTCAAAATTTATAATATATAACACTTTTTCTATATAAAAAAAACACTTTTTTCAAATTTTTTAACAATTTCAATTTTAAGAATCTATAATTTTATCAAAAAAATAGCTAAAAATATTTCATTTATTTTTTTGAATTATTTCAATAATTCTCAATCTTATTTATTATTTTTATAAACTTAATTCATAAATTGATTGAATTAATATATAGTTTAAAAATTGAAGAAATGAGGATTTTTAATGTGTTTTTATTTAGTATATAATAAGCCGGAGCCTAAACTCTTACAAATAGCACTTGGAATCTTCATCCTGACCACGATAGTACTTCCAGAATGAGAATCACGTATGTTTATTTTTATTTTTATCATACACATCGACCAGAGTGGGATTAGCAAGAGCAATGCATACAAGAATACACAGCTACCTAGGTAGGTAGGTAGGTAGGTAGGTAGGTAATTGTGGATGTGTGTGGTAAGTAAGTAAGTAAGTAAGTAGATGCTGTATGATAAATGATTACCCTCTCTCTCTCTCTCTCTCTCTCTTTATCTTCATCTCCCTCTTTATCTTTATCTCCAAAGAAAGAAATAGCGGAGGACCATTTACATTTACAATCACATTTACCAGGTGACAATTGATAGACAATGTGTGTAACCCACCTTAGTAGTTAATCTTTTAGATATTATATATTCATTTAAATCGTCCGCTTACAGCTATCTTGGAAAGTCCCCCTCGGTATCTGGATTGCACAGCATAGCATAGCTTCTAACAGTATCTCGCTGTTTCATCCCCCCTTCCCTTTTGCTGTCGCCGGGTATTTACAAGTACAAAAGCTCTTATTCACATACATACATCCCCAAATCACCTCTCATATCTCGGTGGTAAACTTTCATCCCCCCTTGTCCCCTCAAAATCCTGATGTGCATAACCGCTTCCATATTCGTCTTCTTCGTGAAAGATCGGCGCCGAAGGTTCATGATCATGTGGTGCCGAAGCCGCAGCGCCCTGTCGGCTACTCTCGCCCTCCTCT